GCTTGACGTGAAATTCCCCCAAAAAATATTGACTGCGAAGAATTCATGCGCGCAAAGTTCACTGTAATATTTATTTGTATTAAACCTTCAGTATAATATAATAAATATTGCATGTAGTTGAGTGTAACATTGAAAATTTTCACCCCAAGAATACCATTGTCAGCCTCGGCTGCGCCTCGGTTGACAATGGTTTTCTTGGGGTGAAAATTTTCAATGTTACACTCAACTACATGTAGTATTTATACAATGTTACCTTTTCAGAATCCTTATTACACAGTGTCATTGTGCACCTCATATTTTACATTTCGATTGGACAGATATTTGGGGTTTCTCACAGCATAAAATGGACTTTGCCATTATGCCCATATCGGAGCGGGGATATTATTTTGTGAGCACAGTGCTCACAGTACTCTAGTTCTTAAAGAAATCCAATTAACAACAGATATGGAGTAGGCAATTTGCAAAAACAATATTATTACGGTTATAGAAAATAAGTTAGATATGTATTTAAAAAAATATAAAAAAAAAAATAATAAAAATTTAAAAGAAAAAAAAAAAAAAAAAAAAAACCCGAAACAAAAAAACCCCATATGACCTCTTCATGAAACGGTTTATCACTGTATTTGAGCTTTATCCATTAACTATGTTCTAGGTTTCTTAATTTCGTATACTTAATAACTTGCAATAGATTTTATATGTTTTAATTTTTTAGCATTCACAGCAATAATGGCATCATCACTTCCTATTGTCCTATTTACACTGGGAGCACTGACATCTATGTTGTATGCCTATCAGCCATACCGATCACATTATCAAAGAAACTACGAACCGCAAAGGGTACCAACACTTGTCAACAGGATGTTAAAGCGCACATATAACCAGGATGATCAAAAACGGATGTTAGATTCCAAAGACTCTCTGCCAGATCATCAGAAGAGATCAAAGGTCACTATTTTGTGTAGTCCAGAGCAATGCAGGCAATTGATGGAATTCCTAAACAGAACACTGCCAAACGGCTACGAATCCATTTCGAATTTCTAGAAATGACACATTAAATTTGTTGGACTATTAGTGTTAGGAGTTGTTGTTTTGTTCCGGGTTATCTTTTTCTCTTAATTTTTTTAACAGTTGTGCATGTTTTCAATCATGAAAAAGCGTTCTCGATATAATTAATTCTCGATTTCAAAAACTAAGGTTGAATCAAGTAGTTTTTACTACTAAACCCAAGTCATTTTTATCTTTATTTTGTGAAAAATAATATACCAATAAATAAACGTAATAGTTGAACAGAGTTACAATGAATACAGTATTCTGACAAAAAATGAGATTCAAATGGGCTTTATTCAAGTTCTCAAGCAATCAGACTCTTTGCTCTTTGTTACCATCTCCCACCTAAAAGTTCAAACCCTTCGTTTTGGTGGCTGGCGAGGAAGAGCTTGATCTGTTCGATACACTCCGGCGTTTTACAATAAATGGTGACAGAGGAATCCGAACGCGTCTCCTTGTGGGACGCCATGGGTAACAAAGTTTTGGATCCGATCCTCTTCGATGAAGATTGGGCGTTGCTCTGACCGATGAGTGTTGAGGAATCATGATTTAATGGCAGCCCTTCTGTGATAACCGACATATAGACGAGAACGACTGTTATAACACTCAGGCATTGTACTGATATCATGATTCTCTTGAAAAGATAATGAAATCCATGTAGAATTATATAAAAAATAATTAATTGCAACAAGCTGAAATCGACAATTATATTGAAAAAAGTATATTGTATATACGCGTTTTGCTTTGAAAACCTTACTTATACAACTATAATTTAACAAAATTATTTCTTTGCTACAGAATTAAAACTATATTTAATGGAAATTGCAAAATTTTAGTTGCACTATTTTTCTAAAAACAATTTCTAAGGTTGATTTCAAAAACATCGATTAAAAACTATTTAAAAGTCAAATATGAAGAGAAGCAAAATTCTTGTACACTTACAGTAGTAGAATATATCCAAGGACATGTAGTTGTGTATTATTACAATCTATATAGGTTATGAAGACAAGCACCAACGCAAAAATAAGGGTTACCTGTACTGATGTAGGCGACGAACGAAGTCATTGTAGATTCTAAGTCCCCCGCTCCTCTTATATAAACCAGATAAAACCCCCATTAACAAGAGCTTAATATTCATGCAAGATGTATTGTCAAAAGTTCAAACAGAATTGGGTGGAAAGGTCTTAAATAAGAGGCTCTTTTCAGGGTTTCTATCAAAATAAGTCAAAAGAAAACGGCGAATGTAACGAAGGAACAGCAATGAAAGAAAAAAAAGTTCATATATTCATTTTCTTTTTTCTCAATGTAAGATTCTACAACAATATACACTTTTCATGATTGTACACTCGTTTTACAAACAAGATTAATTTGTCTCCTTAAAACACTGATTTACTTCATGCTGTATGAATCTCTCCGTTTGATATATATATATATATATATATATATATATATATATATATATATATATATATATATATATATATATATATATATATATATATATATATATATATATCCATGCTTTTTGACATCATAGACAGTTGATTTTCATAAAAATGGAAATCGTAAATTTACTTACCTTGCCATTGGTCATTTGCAAAATTATTTGGTTAAGAAATATTCTGAAAGTACTTAGTACTCCGAACTTGATATTAAAAGATACTGGAGTGACTGATTGACAATATCCATGTAGTTTTTGGAGATCAAATCTTCCAACAATCTGTCGGAATTGCTATGGATGCCAATTGCACCCCCTTTTTAGCAGACCTATTTTTAAATTCATATGAAGCACAAATTTAATCAAAAACTTCTACATGAGAAGAAGAAAACACTTGCTGTCGCCTTTAACTCCACATTTAGATATATCGACGACGTATTATCAATTACGAATAGTTATACTTTCATTTATGTGTCGACTCCATATATCCTATATAAAAGATATCAGAGAGTCTAACCGTCCGTTTCATATTTGGATATTTTACTAGAAAAAGACGTTAAAATTAAACTCTAACAACAAAACTTTATGATAAACGAGAAGACTACATCTTTTCTATCGTCAACTTCCCTTATTTATGTAGCAATGTACCCTTATCACCTGCATATGGAGTTTATGTCTCCCAGTTGATTCGATATGCAAGATCATGCTCTATGTACGAACAATTTCTAAAACGAGGCAAGCTTTTGACAAACAAGTTGATGAAACATGGATATCATCAATCTCGTTTGAAGTCACATTTCGGAAGTTCTATGGTCGATACAATGACTTTGTCAGCAAATTCAATCTATCATTAAATCGAATGTTGTCTGACGTTTTTTGTCTGACGTTTTATAATTGTTAGGTCATTAATTTGCTCTGCTCCCGACATATATTGTTTTAATGGACATTTGATCTTGAATACTGTTTGTTATCTGCATATTTCATGAACAAATTGATGGAAAATGTACCTGTATATTACATAATCAGTAATTTCAACGTTTGATAGAGAAGTTCAATGTTAAGCTCTGTCTTATTATACAATATTATAGACATAAAGCATAGTATTCGACCTTACAGTGTAAAACCTCTATACTGTTTGGTTAAAGGGAAATGTCACTCAAATTTTGAATCAAAGGGTCAGTAATAAATAAATTTTCAAAAATGTTTTGGGTGCAAATGTATGATACTATTACTGTTGTTTCCAAATGCAAGGTTATAGATAAAAGAAGTTCATTGAATATGGAGCTAAAATATAATTATCAAAGGCAATAACAGGTTTTTATAATGCTCTGAGTGATACTTCAAGTCCTTTTAATTTCATTTTTGCTACCAAGATAACTAACCATGAAAAATTGTGCCGCAAGGGCACATATCTTATAGAGGCTGGGGGGTTGTGGCCATTTTTAGACTATATTGATCTCCTTTAGAAGAAGAGCTCCATATGAAGATATAGAAAATGATCAAATTTTAAAACTAAAATTTTTGAAATTTTTCTTTGCCAAATGATAGTTGACAGCTTAAGATATCATATCTGAAAAATTAAGTTAAATCTGGTGGTTAATTTGTGGTTAATTTGTTGACCCCCCAGCCTCCTTTATATGTATTCTGATATTCCTGATAAGAGAATTAATAAAACTCAACAGAGTCGTTTGAGTGTGGTGTTTCGAATCCCATGACTACAATTTTTATAATCCTTATGTAAACTTCGTCTTTAAAGTATTAAATGCTATTGAAGTATACAATAATTGATGTATAACATCATATATTTATTTTATGTCATATATTGTATTACATCTATATTAGAAATTACAGATGCAAATATTTTTTTATCTGTAGAAACATCTAACCACCTGAAAACCTCTAGTTGCCTCGGCCACTGGACCCACTGTAATTAACATGTGTTTTGAGGGAGGCATATAATGACATGTGGGCTTCCTTAGTGGGAAATATGAAGTTAACTAATCATTCATCCATATTAAATAATCATTAATAAATGAACGTGGAGTGATATGTCTAATATTTAAATTGAAATAGTGATTAAACTATGTACTTTGGTGTCGATAAAATGGCGCCTAAGAGCTCATGACGTCAATGTTTTGCAGTAAAACTCACGATTTAGCGCCTATAGACATCAATGTGGAATGCTAGAAGTTTATCAAAGTGCAGTAAGATTATTAAGGGCTAAGTCTATCTGCACCATCACATGGTGCGCATGAGCAATACAAATGATTTCACTGATAAAGGAAACAGAAGAAATTTTGGGCATCATCAACTCTTTCCATTCCATTGGAAAAAGATGATAACTCACAAGTAAGTTCTAATAAATTTGAATTAGATTGAAAATTGCTTTTTGAGGGTAATTAAATGAGAATATATTTTTACATTGATAAAATAGAAAATTCCCAAGCTTTTTATTTCCAAGGGGGGGAAAATTATTCATCAATTTTTCATAAAAAATCCTCTCGAAGATGTAAAAACAAGAAAATAAACATTGAATAATTATATAGTTTATATCAAACACTAAGCACATAAAATCCTGTCATATTCTTAAATAACGAATCAAAATAAGCTCTTGGTTGTGTAGCTTTTCAATCACTCTGTCTTTTCCTTCTCTTCTTGTGATGATTTAAGTATAAGATGTGAAAATCTGGCCACAGTCTGTCTTTTCTGTAGTTTATTTAACTTATTAGGATTTTTTACTTGTTCTGACGAATTTGCATCATGTAAACTTTTCTACAAAAGGAAACAAAGTATATCCTTTCAAAAATCAAAAATATACTGAAAAAGTACATACCTAATTATAAAAGAATATATATATATATATATATATATATATATATATATATATATATATATATATATATATATATATATATATATATAGGAAGATTAATACAAATAAGAAAAATGTAAAAATGTGACTGATGTTGTTATAAAAATTGTAAATTAAGTGGTGATAGATAAATAGAAATGAACGAGATTTACAACAAACCTGATAAATCTGTACTTTTTCATCAATTTTTCTCTTTTTTAGTAAAATCTAAAAGAATAAAAGTAAATAACTAAAATGATATTAAAAGATTTTTTCTTAAAATTTCATACACATACATACATGTGTATATTCATTTTTCATGAAAGATTTCTACATGTCTTAAGAGTAAAAGTATAGAAAACTCATAATTATATACTGTTCTACAGTGAACAATTTACAATTCATTCTGGAAAACTCTTTTAGCAAACTATAGAAAAAAAATATTTTAGCGAATTAAAAAAATATTGTTTTTTTTTTCAATTCTGGAAATATAAGTATTACTATAATTATGATCATATAATTTTTATTTAAATCGGATACTTAATTATATTGCACATTTTCAATTTTTTTGAGTTGGAGTAAATGCAACAGCAATGTTTTTTATTGACTAGTAAATTGAATTTTACAGATAACAACAACACAAGTCAGTACCTTGATGGCCACGATAACCATAAATGTGAGTTGATATGCGATGTAAACGATGACTGTAGCGACGAAGGCCCAGAGGTCCATAGTGCCCTGTGTATCTCGGTCATCGTCAAAACGCGAAACGACGATGTGCCAAATACTCACAACGTAGTTAAACAACATACTTATTAACAAATATCTATCCTAAAAAACATAAAAAACATACATGTACTTATTAATAATTATCTATCTAAAAACCATACTTATTAATAAATATCTTTCCTAAAAAAAACAACCCATTAACAAATATCTATCCTAAAAATACATTAAAAAAACATACTTATTAATAAATCTCTATCAAATAAACCATATTAATTAACAGCTATTTATTTTAAAAAAAACATATTTATTAACAAATATCTATCCTAAAAAAAAAAAAAAAAAAAAAAAAACAAGCACACACTTGTTAACAATATTTAAACTTATTTATATAAATATACCATACTTGATATTGATATACATGTGAAAGTTGAAATTAACATTAATAAAAAAAATACATTTATGCTAAAAAAAAAAAAATACGTAAAAATACTTATACTGAAAAATGTTTATATAAAATTTCATACTATTGTAAAATGAATTCTTATCTACCATCATAAGCTACGATAGTTTTAATTAAGATAATATTGTAAACAGTTTCCATAATTTATGGTTCTTTTATTTATCTTAAACGTTTTTGGAACATTTTGTTTTAATGTAACCTATTATTATTGTATTAATACATACTAGTAGAGTTTGGTAAGGTATTTTTGGAATGCTTTGGTTGGCCATAAATCGAAAGGCGACTCCAGTTAAGGCTAAAATAAAACCTAGCAAAAGACGACGTTGTGGATTATTCCGGTCAATGGCAAATGTGGTTATTGGTAAGGACCCAATCAAAGTCTACAGTAATAATAAAATACATGAAATGTTATGATGAATATAAATTTCAATCAGGACAAATACGTTTTGATTAAAGGATTCAGAATGCAAGTAAAGGAATTAGAATAAAAATATTCCAACATTGAAATAATCATTATAGCATAATTCTAAATATAACCTTTACAAATATTTTTATAGTCACCATTATGATTATAATATTCCACAGGAAGAAGGAATATTTTCTGCTGGCCAAACCTCGGATTTGGAGGATTGGGTTGTGAGTTTCTTCGTTGACCGCAGTTGTGACCTCTGACTCAATATAGGGTTCGAGGTCCCATTCCTGGGCGTGTATGTAGCAGGAGACGCCTATTTCACTCGGTTTATCTCGGTCCTCGACCAGTTCTATCTCAGAGGTGGGCAGCGAGGATGTGAAGCATATGTTCAAATTCTGGAGACAATATAATTGTATATTAAAGGGGCCTGGAAACAGTTGCATTGTTTGCATTTTAAATTTCCATGTTTATTAAAAAACAACGTAAGTTTAATGAATTGAATTAATATGAATATTCTTAGAATTTACTCTGCAAACATCACTGAGCACAGACTGACAATTCAGCTGGTGAGCTGGTTTTGCTTTCTCCCATTTCTACTCTGATTTTCTGGAATTTAGTTTTATTTTTCATTAACACTCAACAAAATTGCTACTTTTCTTAAACATTAAGGATAAAGTTTACTTCCTGAAAGTGTCAGGATATGTGAGAAAAGTGTCAAACAATCGCTGCCCGAAATTCGTAGTTTTAATAATTTCCAGATAAGAGAAGTTTCTTAACACAGTTTTATTATATTTCGGCGTGAATGCTTTCGTTACATATAAGTCATGATTTTTAGAAAATATTAACTTCAAATCTGTGTCCAAGCCCCTTTAAACATGACTTACAAATTATAATTTAAAATGAAAATGTGTTTTTATTAATTTTTAAAGGATATAATTTATCATAATATAATCGCAGAAAAGTAAAATTTATTATTACAATGATATCCTAATTCTTTAAAAAAAATCTCATATGCAAATTATAAAAATGTCCATAATACTGCATACGTGAGACACGTCAAATCCACAAGAATGAGCTAAACATAATTTTAATTTCAAAGTTGAAAATCAGTTTTATCATTATAATTATTTAAACTGTACTTTACTGAGCATATGTAAAATGTTTAATTTTTGTTTTTAAACTATCTTTAAAAGTTAAAAACATCCTTAAACTACATTTTACCGTTAAACATATTTTACGGATGCTAAAGAAACTATATTTTCCTGTCAATAATCGTTAATGATAGTTTATGGTGATAAATATAAATGCTTATATGTAGTTATTAAACTAATTGCGAAACTATCATAAACGTGTGTCAATTTTAGTTTATCATCATAAACTATAATTCATTGACTTTAGCTAAAACAGATTAAAATAGTCTTTAAATGAATCTTAAAATAGACTGACGTCGTTCACTTTAGTATACGTTTCTTAATTGCAATTTAAAATTGATGCCTCTAGTCTATCAACAGTAGAACTATGCTTAGCTAATTTCTGTAAATTTGGTGTGACATATGTAAGGCTTTCTTACTTGTGAATCAAATGGGAAGTCGTAGAGCTCTAACTTCTCTGTAAATGTCCCCTTCTGTCTTGATTTCTGCACTATATAAGCTTCTCCATTTACCACCAGTGTCTCATACCAGGTTTTGGAATATTTTTCTGAGACTTTGTTTCTGATGGAAATGCCAGGATTCCAGAGAGTCTTATACTCAACTGACTGCTTTTCCTAATTAAACGGGAGAAAATGAAATTTGTTAATGGAGTTGTCTGTCTTTGATCAATTGACGGAATTTAAGCAGAAAGAAGTTTAACACTACCTTAAGGTTATCTAGTTTGGGTTCCCGCCATCTGGCCCGGAAATAAACGTCACCGTCAAACTGTTCCTTCAAAGTATCCACATTGTCCAGTCGAATGAACACCACTCGCATGTAAACTGTCCTCTGTAGGTATTCAATAGAAATGTTTGATCAGTAAACAGGCATCATGATGATCACATGTTTTGCAATAAGATGTTTCTGGGTGATTTTTTTCATCACGCTTCTCTGAGGTTCATTTAGGTCTGACTCTATTTAATCGCACAAATGGATATTTTAGAACAGAATAATGCAATTAAATTTCTTTAATATCTATCAATCTAGTTCCATTTAGGAACGTAAAATTGGAACAATGCAATCCGAGTTCACATTTCATTTTCTTTTTTAACAATTACTGAAAGTATGCATTGCAATATTAAACATAGAGCAGTGTCTATTGATCTCAGGCACCAATCTATACAATGCCAATATTGAAGTTTCCCGGAAATAAATAAAACTTAAAATCAGATATTAGTATCATCGAATACAGTAACAAAAGTCCATACCTTTGTTGGACTTGCTGATTCCATTTTCAAAAGAGACAGCCATCTAGCAGACGACAGCTCAGTAGGAACCGATCATGGTGTACCGAAGAATAAAGATATGGAACTTTGGTCATTAGATAGTTTCCAGTCGACTGCTTTTCAAACATTATTGATTTTAACAACCTTTAAATAAACAATATCGAAAAAAATCCCTTTGAAGAGCCATGCTTTTATGCCATTAATTAGATATTTTTATTTGCACAGTAAGTTCAAGGTTGTATTTGCATGCGTATTTTAAATGCATAATGCAGTACTATAGCTCTTTTTATAATCCATTTCGAAATGAAGTGCGAGATATAAAATCAGAACAATTTATGCTTTAAAAAAGTCTTAATTTAATTAAAAATTCTTGTTAGATACATTAGTGGGACAGACATTTAGGTCGCAAAAATCTGCCTGTATACTATTAAAAAAAATGGTAAAAATCTAAATATGATGTTTATGAGATGCAGGACCTGTTGATGACTCCGTAGATTTATCAATATGCATAAGTATTAAGTTAATATAAAGCTGATGATATATTTAATTTTTTTTTATTCACAAGACTTCATAACACTTGTTTTTACAACTATGTTATGGCACACTTTTAGATCATGAAGTAAACAGAATATAATACACAGTATGTAATACTGTTTGAAAATTCAAATAAAAACAGTAGAAATTAAAAAATTTGTTAAGATATTCATTATTTTGCAATCAGAAACTCGGGAAAGAAGAGGGCAGCGCTGCAATTCTTCCTTTACGGTTGAGTTTACTCTTTTTTCTTCGTCTCCAACTTTCTCCAAATAACTTCTCTGCTTTTTCCTGCAAAAAGTGTATTTATATGTAGTTCGTTTCCTTCAAATGTCAACATACTCAAATTAATTTCTACGTGCGAGTTTTGATTTGTAAAAAAAATATATATACCTGGTAAATCTTCTCTTTTTGGTGAACTTCCTTGACTTTAAAATATCTCTAGAATTTTGAATGAAAATTAATGACTAAAGTGACAAAAGCATACAAAAAATACTGAAAGTGTTTTAGAATACGGGCACTTACCGTTTTCAATGATATGGCATAAAATAAGATATGGAACAGAGCGTAGAAGACCGCGAAACCAATGAAGAAGTAAAGATCACAGTCGGCTTGGGTACCTCTGTCCGGAATTAGAGTTACAATGGCGTGCCAGGCCGTGATTAGGTAGTTAAAAATCATACAGTATAAAATGTACTTGTCCTACAAAAAATGAGAAAACTCCTGTTTGTGTGGAAAAATTCGATATTTAAAAATTTGTTAAAGATAATAATGTTTAAAACATTGGGCTTTCCTACCAGTCTTGTTAAGTAGGAAATCTTAGGAAGTTGTTGGTTGGTTACGAATCTGAACGTGACTCCTGTGAGGGTCAAGGTAAAGGCCAGTTGAAGTCGGTTCTGTGGCAAATCTCTATCAACAGCAAACGTGGCGAAGGACAAAGAACTGATGATGGTCTAAAATCGCCAGTAAGAAGACTTAATTTAAAACATGGCGCAAGACATTCATAAAAGGAATCCGATGCTTTGTTTCTACGTACCATTATCAATATGATATTCCAGACGAAGAATCCAGCTCGTCTCATAGCTAGAGCTTTAAACACGAGGAACGGGTAGACCACGTTTTTTGATCCCGTGAACTCTTTAGACACCTTTCTTATTTCTGATTCTACATATTCCCTTAACTCCCATTCCTGCAAAACAAAACAAACAAATAAAAACAAACAAATAAAAACAAACCCCAAAAAAATAACAAAACAAAAACAAAACAAAACAAAAAACAAAAACAAGAAAGAAAAAAAAAGCAAAAAAAGCAAAAAAAAAAAAAAAAAAAAAAAAAAAACAAAAAAAAAAACCGAATAACAAGATAGACTTTAATTGTTTTTTTCTTCTTCAAATTTTTAATGAAATATTGAAGTGAAATAAGTTCATTAGAAATGATTTACAAGAGAAAAAATTCAATGAATGTATGAAAACTAAACCTACAAAATTACGAGTTCGCTAAAGAAATTTAAGACTTGAAGAATGAGTTTAAACAGAGTAAATATCATGAGAAGGTTAATGTAATTTTTTTTTTGTCTGTGTAAAAATTCTTTAAATTTATTAATAGAAAATTAAAAAAAAAAAAAAGAAGTTATGGTTGCGTCCATGATAAACTGTAAAATATAGTGAACGAAACAGTAAGTACCTGTTCGTCCACAAAACAGGAAACTATGATGGAACTCAAGTGTTCGGCATCCTCTATAATTTCTAGCTCCTCCTCCGAGAGTTCAGACGTCACCACAATGCTCAGGTCCTGTGAAATAGAAAATTAAAAAACAATGCATTAACAAAGGAAACCAGAATGACAGTTTGAATCTTAATAATGTACAACCAGATTTCTGTGAACTTTGCTAGAACCACGAAACTTTTTATAAATATTTTATGATTGCAAATTTCATGCACACACAAATTATAAAACAATAGAATTATCTACAAAAAGAAATGGTATAAATAAAAGGGAACATACAACTACATTAGTGGGAGAATCAGGTTGTAAATTTGGAATAAAATGGGTGGAAGTAAATCAACAGTTATTATGATGTAAATGTTGTATTTACAGTGTACGTCAACCCAGTTAAAAAAATAAAAATTTATAAGAGATGAAAGGTTTGAAATAAGCGAAAAGCAAGAAAGAATTAAAAATTCTTCTACTGCCAAAGTATTTACTATATAAAGCTGATATCAGATTCATTACCTGTAGATCAAATGGAAAATCTTGAAGTTCCAAATTTTCTGTAAATATTCCTTTAATTCTTCTTTTTTCTACAATAAAAGCCTCGCCATTTTTTCCAAATTCCAACTTTTTCCAAACATTGTCTTTCGATGCCGAGATGACGTTCTGAACAAGAAGTTTGGGATTCCAGTATTTTGAAAAATCCATGTTGTCATTTTCCTGTCCAAAAAGAATTTATAAGGTTTGTACAAACTAAGAATACTACAGATTTCACATCTTCGCTAGCCAAGGGTTTCTGATACGCTTCTCTCCTCATAAGCCCTTGGCATACGATGTTAAAAAAAGTTGGGATTTTTTTCTCAAGTTGTGATTGGAGTTGATCGACATCATTCGACCAATCAGAAATTGTTTTTGTAAATGACGATATTTGCGTTCGGGATATATCTTGACTCTTTAATATCGGGAATGAAAAACGAAAGCAAACAACGATCCGTAAGATAACATGCCATTCTATGAATAGTTATATGGTGTCATCCAATATCTTAAGCTACGTGCAAAATATGTGATTAAGAATCTATACTGAAGATGTAGATTTGCATTTTAACATGTTTAAATAACAAATTAACATAATTCAATACCTTCTTGTTAATTATTCTTTAAAAACATTATATTTTTAAATACGCTTTTTATTTCTGTCGATGACGCAATCTGTGCGAACCTGGTAAGAATCGTGATCACGTGACGAAAACAATCCCGTCTTTTGTCAGCACCGTATGCCAAGGGTTTATGAGGAGAGTAGCGTATCAGAAACCTTTGGCTAGCGAAGATGCAGATTTCATAATATTAACTTTACTATGGCCTTGTATTTGATATGCATTTCAGTTATTTTTCTTTATCTTGTCTTTATTTTTCTACGTTTGAAAATACCCTAACAACAACAACAACAAAACAAACAAACAAACAAAAAAAAAAGAAAGAAAAAAAAAAAGAAAAGAAAAGAAAAAAGCTTTATTATAGTAAACTATAGTTTACTATAGTTAGCAAAAGCATCAGAGTTTTTACTATAGTAAATCAAATTTTTAACTTTGCATGTAGCTAATCAAAGTATTTTTACTATGAATTTCTAATTGTTATATTTCCAGTCTTACATATCATTTCTTGATATTACAAAAGAAATACTACATGAATATTTACATAGTATTTGAAGAAATAATAAAGCCCTAGATTTAAAAAAAAAGGTCTTGAGTAAAGTTTCATAAATTAAAGTATCAATGTTATTTACTTTAGTTAACTATATAGTAAAATTTTGTAAGGATAAAAAATGTTGTTTGGTTCAGAATTCATTCTGTTAGTGAGAAAAGCTGAATCAGATAAGGGCATTCTTCCGTGTGTGGTGACTACTGTATCTGTGTCACTTTTATCTCAAATCCAGAATTAACCTCTCTAATCTTGGTAATGCAGAAAGGCGTTCCCTCATAAGATGACCGCTTTTACGTTAAATATAATTTATCTGTGTTATTTTCATAATTATACTTCAGAGAGAGAGAGAGAGAGAGAGAGAGAGAGAGAGAGAGAGCTTGTTAGGATATCCTGGGGTTTAAATTCTGTAGTTTTATTAGATACTGCATGAAACACTGCTAAAGAAAAGAAAATAAAAGAAATAGAAGTTCCTGTCCACCCCATCCCCCCTACAAACACATTTAACACCATCGCCATCACATTCAATGTCGACATATTCCTAAAATACCTTTCCATGGTCTAGAGATTTTTCCCGCCATCTACTTTCAATGAAAACTTCTGCAGCAAATTGTTCTTTGACTGTGTCGATGTCGCTTAATTTCAGAAACACGACACGTGTTTGAACTGTATGCTGCAAAGAAAAGCTCAGGAACTTCAATGCTTAGTATGCAAATTAAAAGTAATATAAAAAGAATCTTTTTTGTGTTTATTTTTGCCATTGTTGGTATACGTAATTGAAAAAAGAGATACAAAACATATTTTTAGATTTTCAGTGCATTTTTATTTAACAATCTGATCAGAGTAAAATACATTCTAGGAATAAACATCCACCCAAAAAGTTTTTTGTGTTTTTAAAATGTTATAAATTTCAACACGATATATAATGTAAGAATTCGGCATAAAACTAGACCCCATGATTTAGTGTTGTGCATGTTATTATCTATAAATGTTTCAACTTTCCATAGCCGGTATCTGTTATGTCATTTCTCTGGTAATAGCAATTGCATTACATTTTGATATTTTTGAAGTGATTTGTAATTAATCTATAACCTTATAAAAACTTTGAGCGCTATTAGCTTCCGCATTCGTGATGGTATAGTGTAGACAGTTTTAAGTGTAATCTGTATTGACAATATCCTTAGGCATTATCTGTAAACATGTATGAAGTATTCTAATAAGCATTCTTTTAAGCGTAATCTATAACATGATCTTTTATATTCTTTAAGTATTATCTGTAATACCACTTATCTTAGCCATTCTTTAAGTGTAATCATTAATTACAATGTAATATGTAATGACACTGACCTTTGGCACAACTTTCCTCTCCTGCTCTGTCATGACAATTTTCTCTCACAGAACTGACCAAATATTATATTTATAACGTTTAAAAACACCGTTCCCCTAGGGTTTACTTCTGCACTTAATTTGTGTATATGTATAAACAAAACTGTCTCAATGTGCCCATTGGAGCGAAGTTCAAAGTTTGCGATGTCGAAACACCCAAATTTGATTCCATTTATAGGAAGACATATAACGTGTCACGTTTAAAGTTCCCTCGACTTACGCTATTTGGGAATACAAATTCAAAGACGCTTCCCATGCCCCAAAGAATAGACAAGCAATTAAAGAAAAAGTGTTTTCTTCTTCCAGTGTAGAAGTTTTTGAATAAATTCTGGTTTGTTGGAATTAAAAAAAAATCAGCTAATGAAGAAGCACAATTAGGTCCCCGGAATTCCGACACACTGTTGTAAGACCTGGTCTCCAAAGACTACATAGATGTTGTCAATGAGGAACGCAATCGTCCTTTTAATATCAGCCTCAAAATACTTATGTACAGAATCAGAGTGATATTTTGCTAAGTAATTTTGCAGATGACAAATCACTATATGAGTTCCATTTTTTTTAAAGAAGTAGTTATCTATGACATCAAAAAGCCTAGCTTTTAATTTATCTTGAGGAATGGTTGTATAAAGGGTAGAAAAGTCACAGGTTTAAGTTACTGACTTTTAAAAAATTGTGTGATTTTAAATTTTCTAAAAGTTCTTCGGAGTTTTTGAGAATCCACATTTGATTTACACTTCTCGAATATGCTGTAGCACAGTCTGGAGTTTCTCCTTCATAGCAGTTAATACTTTTGTAAGGAGTAAAGATGGTGGCTTGGTGGAGCATTTGTTGGAGTCGGCAATGTATCTTTATAGGAATTATATGAAGTTTAGGAAACCAGTATAGAAAGGGTACACCGAACTGACTTTCATTGACTGGAATTTTAAAAAAAATTAAAAAACTGAAGTGTGATTTTGAAGAATTTCATCCTTACAAAGTGAACTGAGAGTATACGTTGGATTTCCAGATGTAGAATTAATGAGCCTTACAAAGACGATATTGTCAAAAGCCTTGTCTGCTGGAATCATATTAAACATATTGTTCATGTAGTCCTAATTCTTTTGCCACATCCGATTTAGTAAAAACGGAATGATATATATTTCACATATTGCCTTTTCACTTTCTAACACGATTCTGCAATATGTTTCTAAAACACTTAATTCATTCTCACAAATGCTTAGGCTCTATGACCATCTTCTTAAAATTTTATTTTAGAAAACAAATGCAATTTGAAATTTTATCCAAAAATTGTTTTCCTTTATGTTGTTAGTTTTCATTTTAAGTGTCACTGTAATGTATATTTATTTATGAAAAACTAAAATTTTGACTTAGGTCTAAAGACCGTTTCGTAATCCCAGTGTCTGGTTTTCCCCTTGGTACATGTATCGTCTGGCATAATCCTCAACAGAATAAAGGTGGACATATTGAGTTTCTCTATTTAATTTTCAATAAAGGGTACCTGCCATAATTTTTCCGGGAAAAATTATCATAGACAGTGGAAATATTAATGAAAAGAAATCACCGTTGTTTACCTACATTGGGAAAACACATGCAAAAAATGGTTTCAATTACTTTATCTTGGTCAATTATTATGTTGAGGATACTTTAATCTACCTTAAACTGAAGCATTTACTGTAGATTTCCATTTGCTCCATTTTAAATCATTCGGTCAAACCATTCCAACTAAATAAAACTACCATGAAATATAAGCACTAGTGAGATGTTTAGAGCTTCCTTAAATTTTTAATATTTCATAGAGGCATCATTAATGTAATGACAAAAATAAAAATGTTTGTTTGTTTAACGTCCCTTTGAGAATTTTTCACTCATACTGAGACGCCACCACTTGCCTGTGGAGGGCTGTAAATTTAGACCTGTACTCGGCACTTACAGCCTTTGAGCAGTTAAGGATCTTTTTCGTGCTAGCATGTACTGCGACACAGGACCTCGGTTTATACTGTCTCATCCGAAAACTGGTCACTGCATCAAACAGTGGATTTGAACATGCAACATAAGGTTCAACTCCTTACTACTCGATTCTAGAACAAAAGGTCTAACCACTGCACCAACGGGCAAAATGACAAAAATTAAATGACCTAATTCAGGTAAAAATCTAATTTTAACTTCTTTAGAGGAGGAAAAGCAACCTCACATGAATATAAATGAATCTTCCTTAAAACCCAAGGATTCTTATGCTTTGTATTCAACACACTGAAGTTGGTTTACTAGTTACTGAGAAGTGGATGTTCAAAAATTTACAAGCATGTAGCTACAAAGAAAAAACAAAGAACAACAAACAAATGCAGCTCAGTCTCAAGTCATAAAAATAACTCGTGTGAACCCTTTGTCCTATCTGAACTAAAAACAGTTTTGTTTTTTCCGTTTTATTATCAATATACATCTCTCTAAGACCACTCAGTACCAGAACGTTGGCCTGTATTCACGTTCCTCTTTGATACCCATCTGATCCATTATGTCCTGTTCAAATGTCTTTAACTTTGGTTTAAAGGTCACTAGATTCACTTCATTTTTGTCCGTATCTTTATCCTTGTTGACTGTAACAGGAAATAAAATTCTTAAAAAAGGGTGTTATCAAACAGACATCATTTTTAAACATTCATGTATATTTTGCACTGGTTTCGCCTCTCTAATCTTACAAAATGAACAGTGCAAGGAAGTATAAAAAGATCTCCTACGTGAGAATATGCATAACGTTTTTCTTCTTACTTATTCCTTTATTTCTACATTGAAGATTTGTTATAGATAGCATCTAAAACATACTTTATTGATATCACTTTTCCTGCACAAGGTAATGTGTAAATGCTCAAGTTTTCAAAACCTACTAGAATATGAATTTACGGCAATCTCATCCCCTTCTGTTTTTTGTTCTTCGTTTATGGGGATAGGGATAATACGGCCGGATTTCTTAGAAACACGGACCCTAGTTCCATCCTCCAGGTACCGCCATAAAATATCTGTTGGTGACCTACATAAAAATTTGAAAAAAAACCTCAGTTATTTCAATTATTTAAATCAACATATACCAAATATTTCAAATGTTTAAATTTATTGGAGCCTATTGATTAAAAAAAACCCTAAAAGATTGAGCACCTGAATACCTTTCACCTTGAACTACAACAAGTCCAGAGGCCTGTTCAACAGCGCTCACGAACATTTCTGTTGGAGGTACAAGGGATTTTGGCGAGCGCTCGCGCACGTTCGCTCTATTGAACAGGCCTTAGATAAAATAGCTTCATTAGCTTATTGTGGCAAAAGGCAATAAGTACATACATGTACGAAGGTTTTCCTAACATTCCGTAGACAAGCCCCCATGTATAGTAACCCAATGTAACTTAAGAAATACATGTAAATTAAACTAGCAATACTGCAAACATTTATTCTCGATTCATCACTTTGAAACCAATCTCCAACGCAAATAAAGTTGTTTACAGAAACTAATAAATTTATTGTAAAATAGAAGGTCGCCAAAGTTGTGGATATTTCTCCCAGGTGAATAAAAGTTGTGGATATTTCTCCCAGGTAAATAAAAGTTGTGGATATTTTTCCCAGGTAAATAAAAGTTGTGGATGAAATATATGGATATAACGAACAGTATTAAACCTCAAAAGTCCATTAAACAATACAAAATAGGACCAGAGCAAACATGGACCTCCAAAACATCAGAGGTGGGATCAGGTGCCATGGAGGAGTGAGCATCCCCTGCCGACCGGTCACACCTGCCGTGTGCTCCTTGTCATGATATTTCTCCCAGGTAAATAAAAGTTGTGGATATTTCTCCCAGGTTAATAAAAGTTGTGGATATTTCTCCCAAGTAAATAAAAGTTGTGGATATTTCTCCCAGGTGAATAAAAGTTAGTTAACAGTAACCAAAACATAAATCATTACACAGATTTATCCCATTTAAATGAAATAATTCAATGGTTGATGTAAAGATGTGTTGGTCCCAAAGTTATCAAAAATCGGTAACCGAAATATAAAATCTTTCGAAGAAGTAATTCCTGTCTGGAATATACTCTTTGTATACATAAATTTGCGTATTCAAAATTTAGCGCAATCACTGGTATGGAGTTGTTGGCGAAATCATGAATTAGCGCTACACATGTCCATGCCGTATATTGTATTTATAAATGATTTATTAGTGGTATTCATGAATTAGCGCATTGTTGTCTGCGCCAAAGCCACTCAAATATGAAGCCCGCTTTTTTTAAGTACACATACAGTATAAATAATTGTTTCTAAAATGAATTAGATATTAATTTTTACTTCAATTTTATATCACAAAAATTCATAATTCTATAATGTTTATCAGCACTAGTTTTACTAATTAAAAAGTGACAACTGCATTGATACTAATTAACAATCAGTCTAATTAATGAATTCTGGCTGACTGAGGTTAGACTGTGGTCTTACTTGTCTGTGGGATCAATCAATTTAACTTCATCTGGAAGTTTCAGTGGAACCATCCTACTGAAGGTCTGACCTCGCATAACTTCATATCTCTACAACAAGAAGTCACCCTCACTATTTTACACAGTTTAAATCGATCTTCATATTCTAAAATATTGGCTGTAACTTAATTAACTTCTCCATGGTAAAAACTTGTACTTTACCTAGAAAGCCCCTACCTCTGTCTTAAATCGTATTATAAATACAGTTAACTTAAGTTGTAATAAACTCATTTGTCAGGAATCTTGGTTAAAAGGAACTTTTTACGAATGCCATAGAAAACTTTGCACTATAATCCTTAGCTCTAACATTGCACTATCATCCTTAGATTTAACTTTGCAATATCATCCACAGCTTTAACTTTGCACTATCATCCATAGCTTTAACTTTGCACTATTATCCTTAGCTCTAACTTTGCACTATCATCCTTAGCTCTAACATTGCACTATAATCCTTAGCTCTAACTTTGCACTATCATCCATAGCTTTAACTTTGCACTATCACCCTTAGCTTTAACTTTGCACTATCATTAATAGCTCTAACTTTTGCCTATCACCCTTATCTTTAACTTTGCACTATCATCCATAGCTTTAACTTTGCACTATTATCCTTAATAGCTCTAACTTTGCACTATAATCCTTAGCTCTAACTTTGCACTATAATCCTTAGCTCTAACTTTGCACTATTATCCTTAGTTCTAACTTTGCACTATCATCAATAGCTCTAACTTTGCACTATCACACTTATCTTTAACTTTGCACTATCATCCTTTTCTTTAGCTTTGCACTATCACCCTTAGCTCTAACTTTGCACTATTATTCTTAGCTCTTACTTTGCACTATTATCCTTAGCTCTAACTTTGCACTAACATCCTTAGCTCTAACTTTCCACTATTATCCTTAGCTTTAACTTAGCACTATCTTCCTTAGCTCTAACTTTGCACTATTATCCTTTGCTTTAACTTTGCACTATCATCGTTAGCTCTAAAATTGCACTATCGTCCTTAGATCTAACTTTGCACTCTCATTGTTAGCTCTAAAATTGCACTATCATCCCTAGCTCTAACTTTGCACTATCATCCTTATCTTTAATTTTGCACTATCATCCATAGCTCTAACTTTGCACTATCACCCTTAGCTTTAACTTTGTACTATCATCCTTAGCTCTAACTTTGCACTATCATCCTTAGCTTTAACTTTGCACTATCATCCTTAGCTCTAACTTTGCACTATTATCCTTAGCTCTAACTTTGCACTATTATCCTTAGCTCTAACTTTGCACTAACATCCTTAGCTCTAACTTTGCACTATTACCCTTAGCTTTAACTTAGCACTATCATCCTTAGATCTAACTTTGCACTATCATTGTTAGCTCTAAAATTGCACTATCTTCGTTAGCTCTAAAATTGCACTATCGTTCTTAGATCTAACTTTGCACTATCATTGTTAGCTCTAAAATTGCACTATCATCCATAGCTCTAACTTTGCAATATCATCCTTAGCTATAAAATACTGATGCTAAAACATTGAGATTACATCTAAATATACTAAGTATTCAACCCCTACATATCTGTTATGCATTTCATTGAATCTGAGGCTATTATGGGTTGGTTCCTTTAAAGTTAGTAATTTAAAAGAAGTGGTAAGATACTGAGAATTCTTCATAAGCTTTGCCTTTAAATCTTGATGGACATTTGTCAAAAACACATTTTCAATGATATCAAGTTAACAAAAGGAGGTACAAAACATGTGAGGGGTTTAGACTGTACAGGGTTAAGAGTGAATTATACAAGTATGACATAATTCTCCTGCACATGATGCAAAAATTAGAGTGTGACAACTTGTGTGGTTAATAGATAAATAATTCAGACACTCTTGTTAACAATACATGGCTAATTGCTTCAAATGGTCTTTTTATTTTAGTTTGTAATTTTATTTACTCTTTAAAAAAAAGACAATCTACAAAAAATATACATTTCTTGATATAATTGAAATTCCACAAAGTCCAGTGGGAAATTTGGTTCTTTATGTTACCATACTCTGACAAACAAACAAATGTCAATTTGACATATATAGATACTTGTATTAAGCCTATTGCTAAAATGCTGAAAGATTCAGATCTTCGTGCTATTTGAATCTTTTTATCACAATTTCCTATTTTAAACAGGAAACTTTGCAATTTCTAAAGTAAAGTGATTCCCACAGCTTAAAAATAATCTACTGAGTTGGAAAATTTAATAAAAAAAAGACACAGCTTTAAACACTTACAACATTCATGTTTTCCACGATCACTTCATTGACATCTCTAAACACTTCTGCTACTACTCCGATTTTACCTTTATCTTTTCCAACCATACAGATCACCTGAAAATAAATTGAAGGAAAATAATTACAAAACTTTAAGATAAAAGAATTTTTCGTAAACATACTGCTGGAAAATAAGCATATGTACACAATGAAGAAGACAACAACATAGAACACAAGGAAAAATTTCTGTTTGTATGGAGTATGTAAAGATATTTTTCCCAAATTCCAGGGATGGGGTAATTGATAAAAGTAATTGTAATTCAGTGTAATTAATTACATTTTTCAAAGTAATTGGAAGCAATTTGTAATAGGCCATTTTTTCAATTACTTGTAATTAAATATAATTAATTACAATGAAAAAAATACCCTATAATTTCAATTACTTTTCAATTACATTTCAATTACTTTACATAATACATATTATGTGTATTTGATAGGAAAATATTTCCAATTCAGTCACATTTTACAGTTATTTAAATTTCTTCAAAGAGGCCCTTGTTTTTTTCAAAATCTTAAACTCTTTTATATCTCAATAAATGAATTTGATATATTGGTTTGTTTATAAAAATATTAGTTTTTTTATAATTATAATGCACATAAAGCATAAATAATAATTTCATGTTTATCAAAAATTTTGTTCTACCTCTCATTGGTATAGGCATGAAACATTTCAATTTTATGTTGCTTGATCATCAAAAAAGAACAGAAAATAATTTAATGTGTCATTAAGACCTGCCTTGTTGCCCTTCAACTCCCAGCTGTAAATTGCTATCAAAACAACCCTCCAAAATTTTATGTAATTTTATACCATGCTTTGTTTATATTCAAAGATATGACTATTAGAGGTGATTTATTAAATACTATTAAGAATGCTCTCCTATTTATATACTTCAGAAAAAGAAATAAATATTGAATCACTATTTTAACATTCAAACAGATCTTTAATTATATACAAATGCATTTGGTACCTGAAATACTTAAATTACATAAAAAAGTATTATTTGTCAACATTTGCAATATAAGGTGTTTAGCTTGCCTACCTGGAGCTAAGATAAAAATTTGAGAGTATTGTATGGTTGATTCCTAACCTCTCGAAAACTCGCTTTTAATCAAATTTCATAAAGGCAGTCAATTAATTGATAAATGTACATGTAGGACTAGATCTTATGTTGACGAAACACACAAACATGACAGGCACCTGACATTATTTATTTTAAATATTCCCCCTACCTAAAATTTACATGTATTTGTTCTTCAAGATTTTTGAAAGTGGAACAAAAGTAACTGAAATGTATTTAATTACATTCTTCAAAGTAATTGAGAGTAATTAATTACATTTGTAAAAATCAATGTAATTGTAATTGCAAGTATCTGACAAAATTTTCAATGTATTTGAAAGTATTTAATAACATTTCAAAGTAATTGACCCCAACTCTGCCAAATTCCTCCAAAACAAACATATTCTTAAACAAGTCCGTGATACACACATATAAAAACATTAAAATTACACTTTAAACTTTCAAACCATTTACCCATACATTCTTAGTTGACAGTGAATAAATTAATCAAGTTAACTTGCCATGTCCTTTTCAAATATATAGGGTTCATAATATGGAGTCATGAGAGGTTTCTTCAAGCCATAACTTATAGCATTTAACCTCAGCTCTGTGGGGTGAGTGGGTCCATATTTAGTAAAACGCCAATCTTTTTCCCACTCTCTCCAGCCCCTTAATGGTTTACATTTACTTTGTCCGATTGTCTGTCTGACCAGCCGATGTACAAATCTGTCCCAGTAGTCAGTTCTTCTGAGTAGATTTAAGGTTAGTTTCATTTTCTCTGTGAAGGGAAATAAAAAATAACATTTATGTGGATATCTACAAGACCAGCTTCTAAATAAGCTTAGTTAGAAAGTTCGTCCACCATTTGCACAAGAAATAGAGGAGCGTCTCTTGAAGATGTGAATAGAAAAAAACCAGTGTGGTTTAATTAAAATGCATGTATTTCTGAAACTATCAAATGAATATTAATTTTTTTTTAAAATTGATTGTCACTGAAGTGCTGCCTTCAGTAACATTTTTTCTGATATTCAGGACTACTGCAACAACACTAATCAGCACCGTTTCCAAGTCTTATATATATTCTAAATATAGCCTCAATTGAGTTACCTCTTTTGCTGTAACTCCATGTATTCTAATTTCAAAGCTCCAGTGAAAATGAGGCCTATTAGCATTTCTATAATTGAAGAGAATATCCAGTTAAGCTTTGTATTCTATTAATTACTCTTACTGGAAAAATTAAGATACTGCATTGAATCCCTATATACCAGGGTTCAGGTCACCTGCGTGGCGTAGTGGAAGAGCGTCTGCTCTAGAGTCGTGGAGTAAGGAGTTAATCCTTACTTCGCGAGTTCGAATCCTACTGTGGGACGTGGAGGCCAGTCTTTTGGATGAGACCGTATAAACCAATGCCCCATGTCGCAGTAGATGCTGGCACGAAAAAGATCCCTCACTGCTCAATGGTCCTGAGTATACATGTAGGTCAATATTTGCAGCTCTCCACTGGCAAGTGGTGGTGTCTCCATATGAGTAAAAAAATTTCGAGAGGGACATTAAACAAACAAACAAACCTGGGTTTAGAATCACTTTTGAAGTGTTTCATTATTGTCTAGCTGTCACACATGATTGCTTCCATGACATTTTCAATTATATTAAATAATTTTTGTCTTGTTTTCAAACAAAAATATCATTTAACATTATAGTTTCATTATTTCCACACCAGTTTTAGGAAGACTGCATTCATAAAACTTAAAACAAACAAGTGGAACAGGAAAGGAGAAAATACAAGGCTGGACCAGGAATTGAGCCCAGAATCACTAGTCAAGTGTTCTACCAACTGAGGCATCCAGGTCAATATCCACAGAGATAGTTTTAACATTGCTGCGTTTGAACACTTTTAAGGAAAAGATGAATTTCCATTGTTTGAGTAACTGTACATCACCTTGTGTGTGATGAGGCGTGGATAAGTATGATTGCTTCACATTTTGCTCATATTAACCAAAACTGGTTTTCTTTGTTATTTTATTCAAGGAGTAACTGTTTGGTCACAAATTAACTGTTATATATAGCCCAAAGACTTTTAAAACTTTGATTGCAATTGCGCAGAAAAAAAACACTTCTCCAAAAGTGATTTTTTCATGAATTGTTTTCAGACGAGTTCAACAGTCTAGACGAACTCCAAAAACAGCGTTTCCGGAAGTAAGAAATTGAGACTGAAAAAGACTCCGAAAAAAGAGTCTGCGCATGCGCACACACACAAAAAATGGCGATTTTTCGGCAAAAATGATGGGTCTACAAAAACTGTCCGTGCAAAGTTTTGGAAAGTATGGCAATTATACCAGTACTCAGAAATGCTAAATAAAAGACTTCGGAAGAGATCATATTTGTCAGATTTTTTATTTTATTTGCAAAAAAGGAGATATTTACTTTCAAAGTTAACGTTTCAAGTCAGATCAACTAAAGAGAAAATAGTACGTTTTGAGAAGTAAATATGCATAAAAAAGGGATATATCTCCAAAATGGGACAATATGTATTGTAACTGTTAAAAACTTGACTGAATTTTACACATAAATTAGCATTCAAGTTTTTTATTTGTGTACGACATCTGAGTTGGACGCGTAAGTTTTTACCATCGTTATTTACCGATTTTTTTATCATATACGAACATATATTATTATGAACACATTTTTTAAACTAGTATCTATCAATATGAAGACTTTAAAACTCACTCTTCTAGATATTAGGGGCACAACATGTCTTCTAAAAATGAACCTGTTAATACCTCTGCTCCGTGGTGAAAAATGCACATTTCCTGATTAAAATAAATACAAGTTGGGTGTCTTCAAAAACAAATAAAAGCACCTTTAGTGTAGGAACGACATAAAATTTAAATCAAGGAGACAATAAGTTTCATAAGAAAATATTTCTTACCGGCAGTATTGAATTGAATGTCGTATATCCAATTCACTATTATGCAAGAGTTTGAAGCGATAAATAAGTCAATATTCACAAAATAATTTAATAAATGCAATTATCCATTGAACAAAAAATAAAATGAAGTAATATTGCACTAAATACAGCCATTATGCAGCCGTATATTTGGAGAAAGCGAACGATAATCCATCATTTCTTTACATCGGACGCCATTTTGACGCAATGCATGATGGAGCCAAAGACTTCGTTTTCGGAGTTCACGCTGTTTTTGGAGTTCGTCTAGACTGTTCAATGTTGAAAATTATCACTGCATCAAAGTGCAATTTTCTGCACTTTCTGTCAAAAATGCTAATTTAAGAAATAAGTTTGATTTAGTAGCTAAATAAAGCTACTTCAGATAAGTAAATAAAGCTATATAGGTAATTCAAGCTACGTAGCTAAATCAAGTGATTGTACCAGACTTGAATAATTCGGACAACTACATTTGAACATGTGCACTTCAAAATATATTGTCGAAATGTATACAAAGAAGACTTAACAAAAAATTAGTCTACCTACATGTAACTAAGTGAAATGATTAATAAACGTTTTCTACTTACATATATCATCCAAATCTCATTATCTTGTTATTTGACCAGCAACAAAGTCATAAACACATGTAGGAAATGATATTAGCATACTAAATGTGGAAGAAAACGTAGTAATACTAATATTTCCGGATATTTGACTATCTGGCATGTGATTTAGTTCGTAATATGTATAACGTAAATAAAGGTGGGCTTGTATTTAAAGGTGCTTGGACACTGATTTGAAGTTAATATTTTTTCAAATTTTCTGTATAATTTCATGACTTGTATGTTGCTATAGCATTTCATACTAAAATATAATAAAAATCTTATTTCATCTCGAAGTTATTAAAACTTCTATTTTCTGGACGCGTTGGATTGACACATCCTTGTGCTTTCACATATTTTAATTTTATTCTTAATACTTAGGAAAAGTGGCAATTTTATTGCATATCAATGAAAAATATTAAAACTATAACCCAGAAAATTCAGAGTAGAAATGTTCGAAAGCAAAATCCACTCACAGTATTGTAAGTCCGTGCTCAGTGGTGTGTGCAGAGTTTAACAATTGAACACACCCGGTCAATCGTATACATAAACAATAACAGAGCTCGTGCCCTGTTTACAAAAACAGTTTACGTTTCACGGGTGTGTTCAATTTGTTAAACTCTGTACACATCATAGAGCACGGACTGACAATACTGGTGAGATGGTTTTGCTTTCGAACATTTCTACTCTGAATTTTCTGGATTATAGATGTAATATTTTTCATTTATACATAACCATTGATAACAAAATCGCTTCTTTTCTTAAATATTAATGATAAAATTAAAATTTGTGTAAGTGCAAAGATGTGTTAATCTAACGCGTCCCGGAATTCGTAGTTCCAATAATTTTCAGATAAAATAAGTTTTTAATTATATTTTCGTGTGAAATGTTATTGTAATATATAAGTCGTGATATTATACAGAAAATTTGAGAAAATATTAAGTTCAAATCTGTGTCTAAGCACCTTTAAATTGATTTGCTAACATGATTTACGACTCATCGAGAAGATATTGAATGCTAACTTAAGTTATTTAGGCCTCAAATCATATTAGAGTCATAGAGTCTGTTAGCGAATGCTAGGATACCCATATATGAATATTTCTTTTCTTCGATTCCCTAAAGTTATTCAATCCCTTATACTGTGAAAAAAAAACGTGTCTTCTATAGCACAGAGAACACTGATACATCTCGTTACTACAGACACTGTAATATTATGAGAAGCCTATACCCAGAGGTATTTTTCATGTAGTAGCCAAACTGCAATTTTACGCAAGAATATATCGTTCCTTGTGGTAAACACGGAGACACCCAAGTAGTGTCATTTTATCGAGACCAAACCATCAACAAAGTTACCAAGATGTACTCCATAAGTTTACAATAAAATTGTAAATGGTTAAACGTTGATAAATTTTAAATGACCGATAATCTGGATTTCGTTCGTCCGTGTGATTGATTCTAAACAAATGAAGACGATTTAATTGGATATAATCGAGAACAAACAAAAGATGCCAAATAGTGCAATTTGGAGAGCAATTCGATTTGTTTTTAGTGTAAAAATTGTGCTAATTTTTCTGGAGTATTTTCTTAAACTGTCCGCTCATTTGAAGAGAGTGCTGACTGCGCAGACTCTGAAGCGATCTCTAGCAGTTGGATCCCTTGTTTACCTGTATCTATGTGTTCTTTTTTTATTCCATAGCAACAGAATCTCTGTATTACAACAAAGGGATCAAATGAAACTTTTACCAAGAAATTTACCCTCTACAAACCAAGCAGACGTACGTGGTACGTCAGATATTGTCTTGAATGATCAGAAAACAATGCGCACACAACTTATTTACCTGCAGCCAAATTTTACCATAGAACTCGATCCTGTGAACCTTTGGATCGAAACTAGGAGTAAACTGTGTAATGGTAATTTTATCGGTTACAGAAACTTGTTCGCCCACTTGAAACATGTGCAATTAAATCCCCGACGTTCTTTTGGAAGAAAAGGCGGAGAAACTTTAGAAAAGGTCATAGGTCAGCCAGAGAAATACGAGTACCTGAGCCTGGAGAAAGGTTATTTCAAAATTAGTTGTCAAGGCCGACGAATATTATATGATTTCAACAAGAAAGATCACTTGAAGCTGTGGCTCTCGGTTGTTAAAGCGACCACGGACAATGGCATCATACCTCCATTAAATAATAATTTCACTATTGCAGTGACTCGATACGAGTATGTTAATCTGTATCATGTTATGACAGACTGGTTCAATGCATTTCTGATGCTTTTGATTTTCAAAAAGGAGCCAGAAACTACCTCTATTCTTTTGATTGATAGCCATCCTGTTGGCGGTCTGGACAGTGTTTGGACGACGCTTTTTGGTCACGTGACCCGAGCAGGTCACATGACAGAAATCACTACATATAAAGATCTGGTGTGGAGCATAACTGGATATAATAGTCTGTTAAATCAACATGCTTTGCCTCACGTACCATATTTAGAAGAATTCAGAGAATTTTTCCTCAGCAGATATAATGTTAAAGACACCAAAAAATTAAACTGTGAAAATTTGTCTATTTTATTTATATGGCGCAAAGATTATGTTTCTCACCCAAGAAATCCCAAAGGAAAGATCAAGCGAAAGATAAGAAATGAAATGGAACTACAAAGAGCGGTTCAACAAGTTTTCCCATATCACAATGTAAAAGGTGTGCAGATTGATTCGCTTCCAATGTCAGAGCAACTTCATCTCATCGCCAACACTGACATACTCGTGGGGATGCACGGGGCGGGCTTATCCTTCACCATCCTCCTCCCCAGACACGCGTCATTAATAGAACTCTTCCCACGATATCTCTCAACCAAGAACAACCATTTTAGAGCAATGGCAAAATGGAGAAATCTTTATTATCTACGATGGCAAAACAGGAACCCTCAAAACGAGTTTCCGAATTATTTCACGTATATACCAATTGATGTCATAGTGGATAAGGTCAACCAGACTGTAAATTATAAATGTGAAAAATGGATGCGGACTTGATAGTTATTTAGTCGATTAAACTATCAGAAATTTGGAAATGTTGTATATTTTGTGTATTGTCAATTAACAATGCTAAAATTGATTATATAATAGCAAATACATTTATTCATTTTATTGAAATATTGGTAATCACTATACGGAAACAGCACAACAGGAAAAAACTCATTTTTTTCGCATTCTCAGTTGTGAATGTTCCTTCGTACTGTATAATTATATACTTTATTATAACAAACAATGGTCTTGTCTTTTAAGGAACTTACATTTCGAATGACGGATACTTTTCAGATACAAATGTACAATGTATGTAAAATCCATCTCTTCTCAAATATGAAATGATACAGAGGAAAGAAACGAAACAACTTCATAATATTTGCATTGATATATTTTATTAACTATTCATAAAATTCTCAATTTATTTTTTCCTTCTCGTTCCTTTTACATAATAAAGATATTTTAAAAAAAGAATTAACAAAAGAACACAGAATCTGAAGAGACTGTAGCTGTACCGGTGTATATTTATTAAAGAAAGATGTATCTCGGTATCTACTTACATAGAAAGTCTAATCAGAGCAAAACTGAAGGGGAGTAGCGTTCTTACGGTCTGACGACACGTTCCTTAAATATTTGTTTTGTTTTCCCTAGTAATATATTAAAAATATTCATAATTAACATTATCTTGTGATATCTAAACTGTTTTCAAAATATCTTGAAAAATAAATACAACAAATAAATGTCAATTCAAGTGATTTCAAATAGAATAATACAGGAAACACCATCCTCGGGTATCTTGCACAAATGCCTGGAAAGGAACCTCAATTTTTTTGTGAGGAAACTTGTTATAAAGTTCCAATACTTCAACGACATATTCTTGGAAAAAAATTATTTATATATTACTGAGGAACGTGTCGTGTGACCTTAATGAATTCAAAGAATTTTTATTTTTAGTAACCATGGCAACATCATTTGTAGAAATCGAAAACCGATGAACAGAATTAAGTACCTTAGTATAGTCTACTTGTGAAGTTGTGTTGAAAATTGGACCAAAACTGTAGAAGGATTAGTGTTTTGAAAGAATTTCAAAGAAATTTCTATTATTAGTAACCATGGCGAAATCAAACACTGATGAACAAACTGAGTTATGTATTTTAGTATAGTCTACTTTTGGACCTAGTTTTATCGATATTGAACTAAAACTGTAGGAGGAGTAGCGTTTTGAAAAATTGTTTACAGACGGTTAGACAGAGAGACGATGGACGACGAACACCTTACCAATGCATAAAAAAAATCATGGACAACAAAATTAATGTCGAATGTAGTCAATGTGAAACAAAGCGTTTGAAATCTGATGACATCGAAGTCTTACGAGTACCGGTAATTGTAATCGTAAAAATTTGCAGATTGAACTAATTCATTTTTCTACAGTAAAATGTAAAGACGAGAAAAGATGTAATCGATTAAAGTTTGCAGCTGCATTCTTCTACATTCTTTTAATTAAAAAAAACAATAATTGGTAAAATTTTCCATAAACTAACTAAGCTCTGGTCAACTCAAATTTTCATAATATCAGATTTCCCTATTTGCTAGTAGTAAGTACGTGTATTAATAATAAAAGCTATAAATATAGCTTTAACCAAATTGCTTTGTCATACTGACATCTCGCTAAAAATTTGTGAATTTCAAACCTGAAAGTATAACTTTATGTAAAATGTTAAGACTTTTGCTTATTGCAGAAACGATACAAGTAAAATAAAACAAACATCTGTACATTGCAAAAGTTAAAAGAATCAAAATAATTTAAATATTGCTCACTGATTTTTCCCATTCAAAATTTACGACAACCGGATGACAAATCAGTATCTCAATATTACGATGTCGTCATCAAGATAACTGTTATTCACACCAAATATTGAACAAATCGTCAGAAATACATGAGATACAATATAAACAAAAATATAAACATAAAAAAAATGTGTTTTAAAGAGGGCAAACTGACAAATGCATAGATTTAAATGAACGATGGACATCAACACAGACCATAAAATATAAAAAACAACAGGGAAAATTGAATTTTTACCCGTTACGGTTAAAATGTATGTGTTTTAGGTTATAAATTCTTCTTCACTACTCTATCATAGACTTCAGCACGATGTAATGAAGAAAACATGTCTCTTCGTTCTTTTTTTGGCACAGTTTTTTTTTCTTCAAACACGAAGTCCAACAACTTTTATCACGCACGTTTATGCGCAAGACAGAGTAAAGCTCATTGACATCACTTCCGCACGTACTTTTTTGGATAATTAATTTCGAGGTAGCCACCATTCTGCCATTCTGCTTTTTTCTCTAAAAAAACAACAACAATTGAATAAGCGTTATAATTAAGACTGAAAGTGAGGAAATTCTGTCTTGTAGAACTATCGCGCTGTTTACTTTAAAAAGAATTTAACCCTATCTTTACTGCCTTCAAGAATACAAAATATTCAAATCTACCATTTGTTCATTTGAATTCTTTTGTACAGATATTTCTTTACCTAAGATTTAAAACAATTTTGAACATTTCCTCAAAAAAAAAATTAATACGAGTGCTACAAAGTTGTATTCTACGGTGCATCTCAGCTTACCGTCTTCATTATCCATAGACACGTATTCGGTAATTTGGTAATTCTCACTTTCGGTAATTCCAGGTTTTTTCAGTTGCGTGCTAAAATTGAAAAAAATGTCATTACGTTCACAGGCTATAAAAAGAGACAACAACCAAAGCCTAATCAATTTTTCATTTAAGTACCTTTTAGAATTGTTTGACTTCAGAGTACCTGAGAAAAGAGATTAGAATTAATGAAAAATGTTATGAATTATCCAGCAGATAAAATGTTTTCATATTTACAATGCATGTCACTTTGGCTGTTAACAAATATGCTGGCTGTTGTAAATTTTGAATTTACCGGGTGGCAGTAAAAACAAAATTTACAACATGACAACAGTTGTCATGTTGTGTAAATTTTGCATTTAGTGCCACCCGGTAAATTCAAAATTTACAACATGACAATGCCAATGTGAATGGTTTACGAAAGCCGAAATAAGATTGAATAAATTATCAATTGCATATTTTTGAAATTCAACCTTTTGTCTCCTCGCCCATTGCCATATACTCGTTACCCCGGCTCGGCAGGTTTGGTGAACAATTTGTTTCCTTGGGTACACTGCTAAGCAGCATGATATTCCAAAATAAAGCAACAATTAATATATAAATCATTAAAATATTCAACTGGCAAAAATATTCGTGAAAACACTAAAATTTAAAAAAAAAATATGGCATATTCATCTAATTTCTTAATCCTTGCTGTTATTAAAAATATATTTTATATTTCAGTTACATACCTATTTGAATGACATGTACCATTATCTGAAAGATGATGATATAATGACAGCAAATGCTAAGAGAAAGGGGGTTGCAGATGCATAAATTATATTACATCAAAGAAAGACTGACAAGAAAGATGATAGAGTTACGCGTTACAAACAGTAGTAAGACGGTTCTTACCTCGATTTCGCTGAGAACTCATTTTTATGATGTCCGGGTCATCCACACTTGCATATTCGTTTCCTCCCGAGCTATCAATAACATTTAAAAATACTTTTTTTGGAATACTTTTCTATTTCAGGGAAATTTAGAAATAAGAAATGAATTTTTTAAAAAATGCATTCAAATCAGTGCATGGGTGGGTCTATTATTTCCTTTACACGATTACTAATATCCACCAATGAGAATTTTACTTCTCGTTGTTAAAATTTTATTATTTTCTCTTTAATAAAAATGATGCATGCTTCCATTGTAATAAAGAATCGAAAGACAATTTCAATTTAATAAAAGAAATTCAAAATAGACCAATGCTTAGCCACATATTTATTAAAACAAAGTGAGTAAGAAGTATTGATCAAGGTAAAGATCATCTCAGTTTCATTTAGGAAAGCAAAAAAGAGGGGTCATTCTGAATTCAGAAAATAAAATATCATTTTCAAATAATGTAAATTACATGTTTCAGGTCAAGTGTCTATTTTTTAGTATTTCAATTATTGCTTGTTTATTCAAATACAAGAAGATAGTTCATTAAGTATGTAAGTGTTCTCTCATTCAGACCCCACGAGAAAAGAATATTCACCAGGGAAAAAAATAAGTAATGTTGACACTTACTTTGATTGACATGAAGCTAAATGTTTTAAAGTGTACATTACAATTATATCATATTTAAGTATCACTTTACTTATATGTATGAAGCAAATAAACCTTCATATTATCGAAAATTTGTTTTTTTTTCTTTCTAAATACAGATAAACTCCAAAATCTTTGCCACACTTTTTCTACATTTGGTCTTTATGTCTCCCAACTTATTTGATACTCAAGAGCAAGCTTCGAGTATGATCAATCTTTAAACCGAGGCAGGCTACTGACAAATAAGTTGATGTTGTACGGATTTTAAAAACCTCGTTTAAAGTCAACATTTCGTAAATTCGTTGGTCGTTATAATGACTTTGTTAGCAAATACAACCTATCATTGGGTTGCTTTTTGATTGACATCTCTCATACCCATTGTTAGGGAATTGTTTAAATTACGGATTATTCTTTCTACATGTACATAGAACTCACGACAGGTGTGACCGGTCGCAGGGAATGCTTACTCCTCTTAGGCACCGGGTCTCATACCCTGTTCACAGATTTGTATTGTTTTCTTTTTTTTCTTTTTTAGATCGACCACTGTTTGTTATCTTCACCTTTTTCATGATCGACCAAACTAGATATGTTGCTTTCTATAGTACCACTCGGTTGCTTTCTATAGTGCCACTTGCTCCGTGATCGGAAGGTCGTGTGTTCGAATCACGTCCGCGACTGACCTAAGTCGATTAAAAATAGGTAGCAACTGTTCGATCCTTCGCCAGGCGCTCGGCACTTTGAAGTTAGAGTTGCGGTTCCTTCGTATGAGACCTTAAAAACCCGAGGCCGCAAGTCACGGTAGGCGCTGGCACGATAAAGAAGCCTCATTGCTCAATGGCCTTGAGTGCCGAGTAGAGGTCTTCATTTGAAACCCTTCACCGGTATATGGTGACGTCTCTATATGAGTGAAAAATTCTCGAACGGGACGTAAAACATCATACAATCAATCAATCAATCTATAGTACCACGAAACATTTACCGAGTTGAAAACTATATTATTTCAGAGAGAGTACTCACTTGATCCCAGTAACGGCGAGTTCATACACTGAGGTGTTAAGTACGTGTTAACAGAAAGCCGTGCGTTTCTGAAGTAAAGAAAAAAATAAAAATAAACCTTGCTCTTTATTAATTTGTTTTCATGTAATAATAACAAATAAATACAGGCATCTTTCATTGATGTTGCAGTGTATTTCCTTCTTATATAATGATAATAATTTCTCTATAGGTATATGAAGCAATAAGCTTTCTTATCAAATATAATGAAACACATTATTGTATGGAGTCCCTTCAATTCGATGAAGTTTGCTATATAGACGTTCAATGAGTTTAATGGAAGAAGCTTTAATAATCATAGCTAAATTGTCACAATGTACATGGATTTTAAAATTTAAGGTTCAAAATTTGTATTCATATCTATGTTTGAAGAATTTTTCAAACGTGCATTGTTAAATCAGAAGAAATTTTTCGTGTTTCTGTTTTCATTTCAGCACATAATGGAACTCTTTACCTTAAGTTACATGTATTTTCTGAGCTTTCTAATTCTGAAATTTTACAAAAATAAGTAAAAATGAATCCGTACATACAAGAGGTTTTTTTTTTTTTTTTTTTTTTTTTTTTTTTTTTTTAAATTACTCTTATCAGTAATCTTACAATTAAACATGATTTACAGAAAGTCAGTTTTGCATACTGCAGGCTGACAGATTTTACTGATATGATTTAGGAAACCATTTAATTACGAGTATTCAAGGAAAATTTTATGCATATAAATAAAAAATATTATCAGCACTAGTTTCCATCAACATAAAAATGAATTAAATATCCCCAAAAGGCGAAGTTGTCATTGCTGTTAACGTTTCTGTCTAGTCCTTACCGCTTGTAAGTCCCTGCATCGAATAACTATTTCTTCCAAAGACAACCTGTCTGTATGGAAAGAACGTACATGTACAAATATGATTGTGAAGTAGATGTATCTCTGGTATATATTATATCATTATATATCAAGAAACAGACTGTTCTCAAAAATTTCATTTTCGCGTATATTAAAATCTTAAAATTAAGGTGTAAAAATTTGTGTTCTATTGTGTATCTACTTATTGGCAATGCACTACGTTTTCAAATACAATTTCAAATTATTTTAATCATTTTTCTAAAAAAAAAAAATCATTAAAAACCAAACCTTTCAAAGAATGGAGGATTTTTGCCTAAATAAATAAACAATAAAAACAGCATTAATGTCAGATAAGATCACTTTTAAATATTTTTTAGATAAAATTTGAATTGTATCAGAAGCACACAATATTATTACGTTTTCTTCTTTGTCGATGACGTAAGACAATCACAGCTAAGATCAAAATGAACAGAAGTCCGATTCCACCAACCACGGTGAGCACAGCAAATGTTGTGTCTGATCTCGGCTTTTGATTGGCTGAAACTAATCATTACACAAAGTCATCTAATGAAAACGTTTTTGAAAAGGTTGTACCATTTCAGCGTTCATAACAAAGTAGCAATAACATTTCGAAGGATATAACATATACATGTGTATACATGTAATTACATATCAATATAGAACATATGATATTTATTATAAAGAATTGAATTTTATTTTCTGGAGTACAAATTAAATGAAGATTCAGTAGACATAACTCATTTGACAAATGTAATGATATTAATTAATTTCTGAATAGAATATGAGTAATAAATCACCGTACCTTCCAAAGAGCTAGCAAGAATATTGTCCGTTTTAATTTTAAACGTGGAACTGCAGTTTTTTCCCAGGACATTTGTTGTGCATAACTGTAGAATGTAAACTTTGGACATTGAAATATTTGTCAACCAATATTCATATATTTTTGAGTTTTGACCTGGAATTCTGAAGATCTCTTGGACTCCAGTATCATTTATGAGAATGACGTGGTACGTCATGTCAGTATCAGGATACTTTGCCTCCCACTCAAGTAAAGCAAAACCTTCGAATGCTTTGAAATGGATATGGAAAGGTTTACTAGGAAAATCTACAAAAATGATATTTTCATAGAACTTATAATAAGAAATATCCTACTAAAATTGACAAAAAATAAACATTTTTTTAATCTTACCATGTCCCTGTGCCACAAACGTGTGAGTTACATTCCCCAGCGAATTTTCAGCGATGAATAGGTATGTTGTGCGAAACCTTTTTTCTATTTTGCCAAAATCCAATTCCACAATAATTCCATCAACTTTGACTATTTTGTTATAAATGACGAGATTCACTGGTCCCTTTGTCTCCGTTTTGTTGATCTTGTAATCAGCTTGTCCCTCTAGGACAATTATTGAGGACTTTGGTGCCGGATGTCCCACTAATTCAAACTTTATCTTAAATCTCTTCCCAACTTGGCCATGGTATTCAGGTTTCGGATCAAGAATTCGTGGAATAGCTAAGGTTTCCAATTCAAATAAAAACAGTTTAATCCATTGTATGTACATGCATTATACAGACAAGAAAACTCTAAAGCTCTTAAATGACTACTTTTGTCAATAAATCACCTTTTATGACCACATCCACTTGAGCCGTTTGATTTATCTTTCCTTCCAAATTGGGAACTCCATTTCCCATCAAACACTTGTAACATCCGGTGTCACTATAACCAACCTACACGAGAAAGGGTCAAAACACATCAAATTACTTATAAACAAAGGAACTTACATAATCAATTCTATTTTTATTTTGTTAAAACACTCACAGACGTCAAGGTAAGGGTATGTTTATTGCCATTTGGATTGACATGAGTGTCATCAGAATCTAGTTCTCTTATCAACTGATTCTTGCGCCAGTGCTGCCAGTGCAGATTACTGTAGTTTCTTGGAAACCCATCCACTAAGATGTCACAGAAAAGTGTAATGGTGTCCGTTCCTTCGTTCACTGTAGTGTCGTTACTTGATCTTAGTGTTGGAGGATCTTAAAGGTAATGCATAATGTACAATAACTGGTGATAGATCTGAAGGTATTGTATTGCTTAGTGAATTTGAAAGGTCGTAACTGCGATGAGCTTAATTTAATGAAAATAGATAATAGTGACATACTGGTACAAAATTATCAGATTATACTATTTGTATAATATGCATGTAACAGAAGATAATTTCCATTCTAAGTTACAAAATACCCGTAGAACCTAGAAATTCTCCTTCACTTACATTCAACGACTAAGTTGACTTTTTTTGATGTTGTGTAAGTCCCTTTAAAGCTTACAGTCACGTTACAGGTGTAATTCCCTGCTGCAGTCCTGGAGACATTCCAGAAACTCAGAATTAACGGTTGGTTTTGGTTTGACGTCTCCATTACTGTATTGTTGTGCTCCCACGTGACACTGGATATCGGGGCACCACTGAATGTACACGGAATGGTTAGATGGGCACCTTCACTGATGATATAGTTAGTTTTCTGAAGAGTTGTAACAGGTTTATCTAGCAAAAATAGTAAGAAAAACTCAAGTTTCAAAGAATACAAGTCATTAGTATTATTGCTCAAACATTCAGTTACACTTTCTACCATTACTACATAGGTTGTCAAGCAAGAAAGTGATCTGAGGTTGTCGTGTAACTAAACATTACTTTTTTTTTCTTAAAAAATCTGTGCTCTTTGTAAAAATTAATTAATCAGTTTGATTAATTGAAAATCGAGCGAAACAAATCCAGACTAATATTGCTTCAAAAAATGGTTTTTAAAGTAATTATATAATTGTAAAATAATACCGGGTTGTAAAATAACTGTGGTGATTCCATGCTCTTCATATCTCTTTGAAGTCGTGCTATTGGTGTAACGGTAAGTGCAGCGCCATGTTGTCTGGTCCACCGGTTTCAGGATTCCGTAGGTTAGCGTGTCTCCATGGCAAGCTATACTGTAGTTCTTCCGTCTATCGAATGGAACTTCACAATGTCCGTCATTAAATGTGGCAAACTTGAAGCCTTGTTCACCAGGAATATTAAGAGTAGCAGTTTTCCAATTTGACGGGAATGTACAATTAAAGAAGAATGGTTTTCCATAAGTCACATTAGCAAACGGTGATGGGTCAACCACGACAAGAGGGTCTAGGGAGTAGAATTAACTTTGAGTTAGTAGTTTGATTGTTTAGTATAATAAATGCATTGTTATTGCTTAAATTAACATGTACATGATTGTGTCGTAAATAATTGTAAATAAAGTAACTGGTAAGCACTACATGGGTAAAGACAACAGTGCATAATATCCTGGTAGATCAATTCAACCTATCACAACTCACCAAAAACTGTTAATTATAGATTTATTCATTTAAAATCATTAATGTTGGAAAAATATTTCTTGAATGAACCTTCTAGACTTTTTAAGTAGAACTATGAATATTAAGCATCGAATAGAGCCAGGAAGATAGTTTAATATTTCAAAAGAAAATAAAATCGTTCACTCAAGTTCTTGAATTGAAATCGGAGATGACTTCCACTAGTTATTGAATTAAATTGATTCATGTTTAAAGCATTCTATACTTTTGAGTTTGAACGACTATTTAATACAAATGACAGAAACTAATAAAATTATGTAAATCATGAGAAATTTTACTGAGAGAGTTGGCTCTCTTAGTGTTTTTTTTTTTTTTTTTTTTTTTTTTTTACTGTTTTCCATATTTCTTTTCTCGCGCATGCATAATTGTGTGTGTGTGTGTATGTGAGAGAGAGAGGGTGTGTGCATGTGTGTGTGTGTTTAAATATTTTCTCTACACAGTAAAGAGTACAATAATTTAGTCTCGTATAACTGTCAAATTTTTTAGACTCAGTATTTCAACAAGTAGCCGGGTTTTCTTGAGGATATCACAGAGTTATGTTAATAGATACGGCATACACTGTAAATGCAGGAAACTTACGGACATGTGCCGGAAAAAACAGAAGCAGGAAAAGTCCGAAGACAGCCACCATCTTCCTACAGAAGAAAGGTTAATTTCAAGAAGAAGGAGATTACATTTTTTATCAAAGCTCCAACAAACTCCTTGTTCTATACCTTATCGTAAAAGAAACCCACTGAAAAGACAAACACGTAAGTAGACAGACCTACACATCAATATTTCCCATCGGTCTACATATATCGTTGTAATATTATACATTTATTGACTGGATTCGAGGGCAACATGCGTTTTGTCGGACCCAAGAACCAAACTGTCACAGTATGGTTCGAGGAGTCAACAAAACACATTTTGCCCGAGAGCACAATCAATAAATGTTTTGTTATACTTCTTATTTATTTATTTCATTTTTTTTTTGACATACATGTATGTCGAACACTAATGAATGCAAATGAGATTAAGCTGACCCCGCCCATTATGTGACGTAAGCGGTTCAACATCTCATCGACAACTCCAATATCTCACTCCGCGGTCAAACATCGATTTTTTTATGCCCGCTCAGTAAAACATAGGAAATGTTAGATTTTTATTAGTATTGATTTATATAGGAACAATTTTTTAAAGGTATAACAATTGAATTTACTGGATGGAGGTATATATAAGTTTTATTACATATTAATCTGTATTAATCTATACCATTAGAAAGTGTATGCAAATCAGGAAGTAGGGTAGATCCCTATACTTAGTTATTTACATTTGTGATTTTGAAAAGTTGAATCATCGTTTTTATCCCCTTTGCAGAGGAAATATTGTAAATTATACGAATTTTGGAAAAGGAAATATGCTCGAGCACAATGAAATTAGTTCAAATTTTATTTATAATAAAAATTCTCGTGTCTGTCCACGGTAGGACACTTACAGGAATGAATTTACACTTATTTTCAGATTATGTATTGGTATTGGTACGCGAAGGGATATTACGCAAAAGATTGCCTTTTCAATGCATAATTGTTGTTGTAAATAGTTTCGCTTTATACAATTCATCGATATACTTTTCATCTAATTGTTAATCTTTTTTTTAATATTACGAAAGGAAATAAAGAGGTAGAGAATGAAGGATTTACGAGTGTTTTGCTCAATTTTTTTTTTTAAAAAAAATCTGTTTATTTAACATCTATCCGTTAATTATTATTCACTTATTCGTGAAGAACATTAAATTGAAGGGGAAAAAATAAAATTCCTAAATATTACCCCCCCCCCCCAAAAAAAAGTATTTCAAAGCTAATAAACTGTTTTACTTTTCAGTTTCACAAAATTATACTTGTGGAAAAATCTCTACCACTGTGAAAAGATTGCGAACAATTAAAGCTATTTCAAACGGTTACAGTAACAAACTTCAAAACTGAAGTTGTAAGGCCTATATGCAGAGTATACAAAAAGTGTTTAACTATATGAATAATATATTTTTCTTTTATAAATATTAATATATTCGCCCTTTACGCTTTGGGGCACCCATCTCTTATCCACAACTCCTCATATGCCATTGAATAAAATTTAATGGGGCTCTCACAGAATACTAATTACATAGTGCCATTGTGACCTTCTATTTTACTTATTGATCATACCCTTTCAAAATTATGCTTTCAAAAATTAAGACGTCCTTTTGTCTCAGCCTGCTTGTTTTATTTATTTATCTTTTTTAGAAAAAAAATTTTGTGCGTCACTCAACATCATGTTCACAAACACAACATGTTCTAAATTTCAAAACATGTTTTTTTACTTACACAATTAAACTTTTAATTTTGGCAGTACTTGTGAATAGAAAGTAAAAAAATTATTTAGGCCTACATCAATCTTGCTATCAAATTGAATAACCTTTGCAACTCTGATGAGAGGTACCGTGTCATTCATGCAATGAAAGCATCCATAATTTCACTCCAAAATATTTTACTTTGAGTTGCTTTCATTTAAAACTATTTTGAAGTTCAAAACAAAGCAGGATGTACATTTGCTCTATAATGCACTTTTTGGGATTAAAAAAATATATATTTTTCAAAAATATTAATATATGATTTTAAAACGTGCTTTGCCTTAAAAAACTTTAAGTTAAATTACTCACCGGATCTATACGCTTCGCAAATATAAGATTATATAAAGAGGGTTAGATAAAATATTGTATTTATAGCAGTGAAAACGGGAAATAAACTACAAGAAGCGGCATCAATGTCTGATAAGAAAAAAACTTCCTTAAATCTAGTGTATCATACTATCACGGTAAGAGACACTTTCTCAACACAACACTTTCTCCCCAGTCATGCCATTAAACAAGGCCGTAACTAGACCCACAATTTTAGTGAGGCAAGTGGACTTGGGCCGGCCTGTGGCCCCAGAAAGTCCAAGACAATGCCGGTGGGGAGGGGGATCCAAAACTTCTTAGTATGAGCAAATTGAAGACAATTTTAATATTTTGATAATTTTTGCCATTGAAACACTCTACAGTAAACAGTGTGACTGACGTAGGGAACAGATTTTGCCTTTTTTGCATTTCATGCCATTCAACACAATCAAATAAAAATAAATTAAATGTCATACGTCAATAAAAGAAACTAAACATTAGCAACATTTCCAAGTAGTGTCAAAAGAAGTTGGAAATGTCAACATGTGGGAATTTACCACCCCAAAATGGGCTCTAATAAAAGTGAATCGAGCTTCATCACATCATCATGTAGATATTATATGGCAATATCTTTTTAAAGAATCATACAATTATACAATTGTTCAAAAAGTTTTTAAAAAGTCGAAAATTTTGGTGAGGCATTTGCCTCACTTGCCTCAATGGTTGTTACGGCCTTGTGGTTGAGTTAGTTGAACAATTAAAGTGACAATTTGTTTATATAATTAAGCCGTTAATTAACATCTATTTGTAATTTAATATTTTTATCTCTCTCAATAATTCTATTGTGAAACTATTTCTTTGTAACATTTGTATTCATCGTCATGTTAGAAGATTTGGCAGTTGGAGAGCGACATAGCTGGTCGAATCCGACCAACGACTCACGATCTTGCAGATTTTGTTAAGTTTTTGGAGTTTAAAAAAAATTGTAAAACGGAAACTGGCTTATGCAATTTCTCTTGGTCACAATACTCCTCACTTTATCATTTGAGCAATATAGCTTCTACTACTGAAGCCCCCCCCCCCCCCCCCAAAAAAAATTGACTTGATATACAGTTTACTGTGAGTCCAAGGTCAACATTCCTAATTATAACTGCATCTTGAGAATTAAAAAAGGAAATACGAAAAATTCTTAAAGAGGAATTTAGAAAGTTTTGAACATTTTGTCTCTTTCTTTTGAAGAAGTTGGAATGTCTTGCAATTTAAATTTGGGAAGAAAATCCACCTTTTCTCTAAGTATATTCCAGAGTTTATTTTATTATTGAACCAGATACTTTAGCTTTATTGGTTTGACCTTACAAATGTCTTAATATGCATTTAGTCTCTTATTGTTTATTTTTTTCATCTTTGACACTTTAATTATAGTATTTTTATTATTGTAATGTTTTCTTGACTTGTACTAGATTTTTCCAAAGCAAACAAAGCTGAAGGAGGAGTTATATTTCGAGAATGTTAAACATATTATATTATCATAACAGTCGCACCTCATTGGCGGATCTAGGATTCATGAAAGGGGGGACAACCAATAAGGGGGTCTTGGGTGGGGGCTCAAGGGGCAAAGCACCTTCAAGTTCTTAGGTTAAAGAGTTTTGTGGGACAGTTTTGCAAATTATTTAAGCTATACTATATGTAAATAATGCAATATCCTACAACAAAAAATATTTACTAATCTTCTGTATATTTTTGGTCACTAAAGGGGGTGCCCCCCCCCCCCCCAATCCACCAGTGCAAAGTTATAATGACAACAATGTCACTGAAAAAAAAAATGAACGAAAGTACGCGTCTTGATTTCATCAATTTTCTATAAATTAATGAACTAAAAAGACTGTACAATTTCAAGCAGTAGCATTTTTAAGAATTTAAATTTTCATACTATTTAGTAGCCATGGCGTCATTCATTTAAATCAAAGATAAATAATAAATACATGTAATTATGTGCAACTTTTTGTATACCACGTTGTTTGGAGGTCAGATCAATTATCAGGCCTATGAGCCAAAGCGCTTTTTTGAGTAACTTTGACCGTGTTATTTTTTTCAGTAGATTTTTTTTTTAAATTCCTGGCTAATTTCATGAAATTTTGACTGTCTTCATATTTGTGGACCAAAATCTAGCCAGTATGGGGGAGGGGGTTATGCTTTAATCAAAGTTGAATCCAAAAACATTGGGATGCTTCAACATGGCCCTTTTGTTGTGAAGATTTTTTCCTGTACATATGCACTATGTAGAATTTGGATCTCTAATTTTAGCCTACGCCTAGCCCAAAGCTCGTAATTTAAAGAAATAAATCAAAGAATGATTTCATTACTAATATTATTTACTCTTGAACAAGAATTCTTTCTAAATACACCCATGTAAAATTAAGTTCCCCTGTTGTGTGAAAAACTCTTTCTCCAACGAAAAGCATCCCAATGTACTATTAGTCATATTGATTTGCAAGCATCCTCAGGTAGTTTAGATTCAAGTTCGCTCAGATCAGGGTCCCTTCAAAAACATTTGGGTCCTCAACTATTATATTGTCAAAAAAAGTGTTTTAAATCAGTCAAAAGAAAAGAAATACTGCATTTCGATGTGCTTTATGCGAGGTTCGCCTTCAGGAAAAATGAATGTTTTTCCTTATTTCATGGCTTTTCAAACGTACTGATTTTTTTTTATAGTAGTCGACATGTACATGTAAAGATATTGCAAATTAAGATTTGATTATTGTTTAAATTAAACACCGAGTCGTCAATATTTCAGCCGTATATTGGCCAAAATATTACTAAAAAGACATCAATTCAAATAGATGTATAATGTCTCCTTTTGACGAATTGCTATTGTCCAACAGAAAATTAAGATATATTCAAAATTCTTTTTGTAAATTTTTTTTCATGTAAATTAAAACAAATACATGTATGTTGAAAGCTACAAATACAATATGTAGTATGCCAACTTCTTTTTTTCCCCTCAAAAATCTGTAAAATAACTGTTATCTTTACGAGAGATAATCCTTCTCTTCTCATTTCTATTTTTATTTATTAGATTAGAAGATTCTGCAAGTTTTGCATGTGACCGAAGAAAAAAAAAGGGGGGAGTGGGGTTACGAGTGCCGTTGTCTCTCACTTTATTATAAGCACAGAGAAATTGAACACCGTCTGGTAAATCAAACAAATAATTTGAACAATGTTTTAGATTTAAACTTTTTCATTAAGTACCATCTATGATTTTATATTAAATGTGTAACACAGTCCACACGAAAGAATGGTTTAAAATGCAGATTTGAAAAATTTAGAGCAATATATATGGTAGAAAATATCTAATGAACACGGATTTTTATAAATATGACTTTTTCCGGGAAATTGTTCTCTCCTATAGGTCAATTCTTTTGAAATTCTGAATACATCCTTTTCATTAATTCACTTAAAAATGTTGTCGGAAAAACTCACTTTAGCTTTAAGCTAAAAACTGAAGAGGGGTATTTTCAAACAATGAACTAGTTTTATTTAAATGAATTATTACTTATAAGAAATAGTACTATAACGCCATCTTTAAAATAATGTTTGTTTGCCCTCTCTCGACTCAAGGTAAAAAAAATTTGGTCGGTAGGTAAGTGGAAAATGATTTTTTTTCCTAGAAAATTTCAACATACATATTGACAGGATGAGAAAATTCAGGAATAATAGAAAAAAATTATCGTTTAATGAAGGATATAAAGGTTTTGAGTCGGGCCATTTTTAGCAGTCGGTCGGGAGGGGGCAAACAAACAATTTTTTTTAAAGATGGCTTCATTTTATTAAGTTAAGGTGGTCATATACAATAAACTACATGTATTTAAGTAAAATTGATCAAACTTATAAAAGAATTCTTTCTCATCTCAACTTTAAAATTTTTAACTCAATATATTATATATAATGCACAGAAAAATATTAAGACTTAATACTAAGACAAATATTAAAGAGATTTCAAATAAGTATTGTTTATTCTTGTATTGTTCAATATAAAGCATTAATGTCTCTTTTTTAATTTCAGAATTACAACCTTTAATATTCGGTATGTATGTTGAAAAATATACAACTTATTGATATCCAAAACATATAATACTAATACTACAATACATAAAATAATCGTACTGATCAACTGTCATAATTTATACTAGATACGTACTGAAATATACGTATTTTAGTAGCAATACTATACATATGATAACTGAATGGTGCATGGATATTATAGATATTAATAAATATGAGAAATATATCGTTTAATAATCATAGAAATTCAATATGAACATCTATTACAAAAAATTGAATCAGTGTGTACCTAACTTAGTCAGGTCAAAGTTGAATGACCCATTGGTCTCCTCCTTGTCTGTTCTTTTGTCTGTCAGTCAGTCTTTCCATTACCTTAATGAGTTACATATCAACTTTGGTGGTGTAACGTCCTTTTTTGTTTTTTATCGGGGGCCAGACTACACTTGCTGGTAGGGGACTACATGTAGTATATTGCTCATGGAATACTATATCATAATTCTACATTGATTCTGCAGGTGGAAATCCAACTTACACCCATAGCTCCCTTTCTAAGGAGGACATTCTTCAAAATCATACGTCCGTTTTAATTATATTTAATATTCCCAACAATCAAAATGAATTTGAATTACCATACCTTTACTGGATTCCTAAACTTCATAAAAATCCTTACAAACAAAGATACATAGCGGGTTCCAGTAAATGTTCTACCAAGCCTCTTTCTTTGCTCCTCACTAAAATATGTATTATAATGAAGGAGAAATTCAGGAGTACTGTACAACAGATGTTGATACTAAAAAACTTCAAGGAACTTTTAGAAAATTTCAAAATTTTACTTAAATCAATAACATCAAAACGTACGACTTTTCAACACTTTATACAATCATTCCTCACTATAAATTGAAGTGCAGGCTTTTTGACCTCGTAGACAGCTGCTTTTTCAATGAAAATGGAACTCGTAAATAAACTTACCTTGTCATTGGTCATTTGCAAAATTATTTTGTTAAAAAGCATTCTGATTGTACACACAAGTACTCTGAAGTTGATATTAAAAAAGATGCTCGAGTTTCAGATTGACAATATCTACATGTGTGTAGTTTTTGGAGATCAGGTCTTCCAACAATCTGTTGGCATTTCCATAGGTACCAATTGCGCCCCGTTATTAGCAGATCTATTTTTGTATTCATATGAAGCAGAATTTATTCAAAAACGTCTATATGAGAAGAAGAAAACACTTGCCGTGGCCTTCAGCTCGACATTTCGACGACGTATTACCAATTAACAATAGTTACTTCCATTCATATATCGACTCGATATATCCCAGTGAGCTTGAAATAAAAGATATCACAGAATCTGACACATCCGTTTCATATTTAGATATTTTACTAGAAAAAGACTAATGGTAACCTAACAATAAAGCTTTATGATAAACGTGATGATTTCAATTTTTCAATCGTTAACTTCCCTTACTTATGTAGAAATATGCCCTTATCACCCGCATATTGGGTTTATGTCTCTCAGTTGATTTGATACGCAAGAGCATGCTCTATGTACGAACAAGTTCTAATGAAACAAGGATATAAACAGTCTCGTTTGAAGTCATCATTTCGCAAGTTTTATGGTCGATATAATGACCTTGACAGCACATACAACCTATCAAAGAGTCAAATGCTGACTGACGTTTTTCATACTAATTGTTAGGCCCTTATTTATACACTGAGTTGTCTACGGATTTTCCCGTTTTTTCCGATCATGACAAGGAGCACACGGCGGGTGTGACCGGTCGGCAGGGGGTGGTCACTCCTCCATGGCATCTGATCCCACCTCTAAATTTTGAGGTCCATGTTTGCTCTGCTCCAAATTTGTATCGTTTGATAGGACTTTCGAGATTGAATACTGTTCGTTATCTTCATATGTCATTGAATGCATCCTTCTATTCTCGCATTCATTATCAACTGGTACCTCTCTTCATATAAATATTTATAATGAAAATACATGCACTGTATAATTCATGATTACGGCAATGCTAATCTTTAAGAGAGACGATTTGATCTAATAAATTTTTAATATACTTTTTCAGTTTAAACATGAGTGTCAGCTGTTCAAGATTTCTAATTTGAATAGTCAGTGGGATTGTCAAAACGTTTTACACAAAACAATAATCTCTCAGAGACAATGAAAGTATCTATTTCAGAATCTTATCAAAGTTAAAGTCTCAGTAAACAATATCATACAACTGTACAACATCATTCTTATTGTCAGTTAGATTACATTCATTAATCACCAGCGCAATCATGGACCGGTCTCTGTTCACAGCTAGGTGGCTTGCGTATCTTAGTTTCAAAAGTGGCGTAAAACTGTGATCCCTAAAATCTGCAAAATGTACTGCAGAGTAAGATGATACAAGGATTCCGGATTTTAAAAATGCCAGTCCTTCAACTGTTGGATTTGGAATCTTAATTTTCCATTTTGTTTTGGCGTCGCCGAAGGCATGGGTACACTTGATTTGGTCGTTGCCAAAATTGAAAACTCTGTAAAATACATCCAGAGTTGTTGGATCTATGGCCAGAGAGCGTTCGGCGGATACGGCTAGTTTTCGAAGTTCAGAGTAATGTTCATTATAAATACGAATGCTTTCAGATTCATCGCTTTCTTTCCAGATGACAAAAAGGTACTCATCACTTGAAGTTAAACCAAAACATTTTGATTTTGGATTAGTAACCCACGCATTTGGAACAAGGGAAAGGTCATGTGACCTAAAAAAATTAACTCTGTGCTCTTTTGGAAATGCAACAGCAATATCGCCTGTTGGGGCTTGTGTGACATCATAGGGTTTATAATCAAATTTTCTGTGCCCGAGCAGTATTTTCATGTCATCATACATCTTAAGTGAAAAGTTTGCTTTATCAGATATTACAATATTACCGTTCGCCAGAAAAGTGATCCCTGATATCTCAGCTGGCTCGTGTTCATCCAAATGTCTAGGAACGATGTTTGACAGAAATTTAAGCTGTTTTGGAGGTCCGCTTGAAGCTTTTCCAAAATTTTGTAAGATGGCTGGTCCTTCACATTGCTTTACATTATTTCCCTGTTGAAAGGGATGTTCATATGTCTCACGACCCATAGACAGATCTTTGTAAGGTCCACTTAAATTTTGACCATGGAAAGATGTGTTATCAGAGCCAAACCCCTGCACTGAAGGCGGCATAGGAGGGTAAAACCCGCCATAGTTAACAGGTAACGGTATTGGGATAGCAGCATCAGGAGGCTGGATACTTGTGTTGGACATAAAAGGAGAATAAGAACTGACTCCTGTTGCTCCAACTTCGTCTTGTCTTTGAACTACTTCCTCGTAAGAAGGAGGACTAATTGAATCAGTCTGCAATGGGGCCGTGGGCTGTCTGGGCAGACTTTGTTCAACATCCCTCATCCATAATTGCTCCTTCTCTGAAACCTGGTCGTCTTTCATCAAATCACACTGTGAAACCCTGTGTTTTACACAATCTTGATCAAGAGGCATCTTGTGAACAGGACAGATGCCATTTTCACTACCATCTGCCATCTACAAGTTGAAAAGAAAAGACAAGAGTAATAAACCTCAATAACCAGCTGACAACATTTGAATTTTTAATGAAATTCTGAAAATTCTACTTGGTAGTGTCCTTTCGGCAAGGGGGGGGGGGAGCACAAAGACAGTAACCACTTTTTCCCACGAATCTCATAATAATGTCCACCAGGTGTAAAATTTTCATTACAGTGTATTATCAGAACATTTGCCTATCTATATATTTTTATAAATATTACCGAGATTTTTCACACATGGCAATTCCCCCCCCCCCCCCCCCAATAAAAGTTTCATTACAATGGTGTTGAATATACAGCGTTTCTAATGCGACAAGCAAAACATGCCATATTATATATAATTGTATTGTAGATTAAATTTACATTTATTGTAAATATTATCTAATGAATACATCCATATTCCCTCTCTCATTAAAAAAAAAACTACATAAAAAGAATGGGAAAAAAGTGATGGAGTTAGAGTCGTTGTATTAGAATAGGCAATGAATGGTTGTTTTTGTTTTTTTTTAAATGCAAATCTAGAAATAAAAGTATTAGATTATTATGTTCAAGGCAATCATTTAAGTGCATGAAAAGAGAGATAACTCTCTATAAAAGTAGTTCTACGAAATAGTATATTTTAAAATAAACATAGAATAAAACTTACACAAGAGGTTTAAAGGCAGTTTTTCGCTTACAAACTATATAACGTGAACGTCAACGTCCCCAGCTTCACTTACACAGGAGATTCTTTAATATTTGTACCAAACTGCTGCTGGTGTTAACACTCAACAGATTTAAATTACCTGTGTTCATGGTGTTGTTCCTTCGAATCGTGCCACTCAGATACTTTTCATTAAAAAAAAAAATCAAAAATCTGTATTGTCTAAAGGATCAACACTCGAGATTTTCATCATATGACCAATTTCTTACACGTGCATCTGCAATGTGAATAAATTATAAAAATACTTACATAAATATTTCATAACAGAGAACTTCGATCCCGATGCAAATATTCATGAAGGACGGAATGACCAAAGCATATTCTACAAAAGCTTCCAAAAGTAAGTGTAAAAGTATTGTCTTAATTTGTCATTACATGTACAAACTAATAGTCCGTAATTTACCTTGTTTATTTTTTTCTTTCAATGTGTGGTAAGCCCACACTGGTGCAATCAAGATGCACCGATTTTGTAATGTCAAATATTAAACAATGTTGAAAACCTCAAAGCTGCAATTCAAGAAAATTAGCGCTATTTTTTTTTTAAGTTTAACATTTAAAGAAGTATGTATCTTGACTTCTTTTGCAATCAAATCAAAGCTGTAGTATTAAAAGCATTTTGAAAGAATTTAACAATTATTATTCATTTTTCAGTGCCTATAGGCGTCGGAAGCAAATTTGAAAGGGGGGGGGCTAATTGAAAGAAAAAACTCAAACCAGAAAAAAACTTGAACCCCCCCCCCCCAAAAGGGGGGATTGAAAATTGTCCAAACCAGCCAAACCAGAAGATCCTATTTCGGGGGGGGGGGGGGGTCGAACTTATTTCAGTACTAATTATTTGTTAAAAAAAGCCCCCCCCCCCGGTTCCGATGCCTATGGTACCTATGGCAACATCGATAACTAGAATTATGTGCCTTAGTTTAGTGCAGTTATGTAACCAGATATTTTTGAATTCAGAAGAAAACTGTAGGAAATGAACAGTTTTGAAAGAATTTCTCATAAATTTTATATTTTCTTTAATCACTGAGATATTGTCCATCAATATTTTTACACGTTCCAAGGTATTATATATTGTTAAAAGTTTTATTGAAATCAGAAAAAAGAAATCTGAAGAAGGAATTGCATTTTGAAATCATTTCAAAAAATTTAGTTAACCTGGCGGTACCAATCATGAAAATAAAAAAAAAAAGAATCTAATAAACAGAATTATGCAACTTAGGATAAGTAACTTAGACAGTGTAGAGGAGTGGCGTGAAAGATATTCACAGAAATTTCTATTTATAGTGACCATCACAACACTGATCGACGAAATTAAAGACCGTAAAAAATTATGTATCTTATTGTCAAACAAAACTGTTAAAGGAATGGCATTTTGAAAGGATTTCTAAGAAATGATTTTTAGTAACTATGACAACATCGCTCGTCAAATAAAAAAAAATATATTAGTGTATTTGTGTACTTGGACCAACCCTGTTGGGAGAGTAGGAGAAGCATTCTGAAGAAATTGTTTACAAGCAGGTACGGACAGACGACGGGCACATTTTCATTACATATCCTTTTTGGTCTTTGACCAGTAGACAATACAATACAATGCGGTGTGTCATGATAAATATGTACATCATACATTGTAATTGTGTTTCTGATGGTAAAACACATACGGTACATATGTGTCCGTTTTTTACATGTATGACTTTAGCACATCGTCGTTAACCAATGTCAAATTGCATGATCGTCTCCCCCTCTTGGAGAGATTCCGGAGTATGACTTGAGGTTAGGACTTTAACAAAACAGTTATTTTTTTTAACTCTCATACTTTCATATTTCATATTTTAATGACTAATGAGAGTTTAGCAATGAAAGCGTGCAAACAACAATTAAAAACCTAGTTCTATATTTCAGGTTACAGAAAAAGTTAAAAAAAAAATATTGACCAGACACATAATATCATTTGATGTAGGAATTAGATTCGTAAAATGCAAGTATGTTCAGTCCAGTTTATGACAACAGAAAGAAAATTTTCAGGACATTGAAAAAGCGGGCATCTTTATGGATAGTTAGGACATTTGATAACGATAAGACATATCTTTAGCAATAGTCAGTTTTTGCTTCAAATAGCTAATCATATGTGAAAAAAGATCAGTACACTGAATTAGTTTTGCTTGACATTCCTTCGTATGATAGTGATGTCAGTAGAATATAGGAAATGGTTTACTAGTTGCTGTTTTTGCTCTCATATTAAAATGAAGGTGCAAGTTTCAAATATCATGTTATACTTGAGACAAGTGTTCAAAACTTGATGTTTTGTAAAGCAAATATCCAGCAAGAAGGATACTAGAGGTCGGAAAGCAAATACCCAGCAAGACGGATACTAGAAGTCGGACATAAATCTCTTCATCTTAGAATATTCAATTGCTTTATAATTTAAATTCTCTATGCAGTGTATTTAATTAACAAATGATAACCAAAAACCAACCGTAGATTTTTGAATAGAAAAAAATCCAAAATATTTTATTACCTAACCTGCTATACAAATTGTAATTAGGCATTTTGAACTGTTTCCCGATTCATTTGAATGGTTTTGCATATCATGAAACAGTGGAACTGTTATCCAAGTCACAGAATGAACTGTTGCATGTTTAAAGCATCATCGTGATATTCAAGCCTTTTAATGATAACGACATCGTTTACCTGACGACATGCAGTTTCACATACGGCATGGCAAGGTTGGGTGATGTAACTGAAGACTATTTGGTAGAATTTTAGAGAAAAGAGAATTCTTATGTACAAAAAAATGTAATAAAAGGAGCATTGAAGGTCCAGAAAACTTTTTGTACTGAAAAAGATTTAGATCTGGCGGTTACAACAAACAGTGATTTGAATGATTTGTTGAGAAAATTTTACGCAGCTCCCAGGACACAGAAAAGGGAGCTGTATACAAAGAAATCCCTATCCATTTGTTGTGGATTACAAGAACATTTTGAGAAAGAACTCGGTATTGATATAGTGAATTCTCCGGATTTCAAAGCTGCAAACACAATTTTTCCGCAATGTTAGCCAAACTGAAGCGTGAAGGAAAGGCTAATGTGACGCATAAAGAACCATTGTTCAAAGCTGATCAAGAAAAACTTTACACCTATTTTGATATGGACAAACCAAGCGGGCTTCAGAACAAGGTATTTGTAGATTTCATGATGTACTTCTGTAACAGATACAGGGAGAATCTGAATTTTTTAAAAAAAAAAAATCAGACTTTTCTTTGAATGTAAATGTCAAGTATATCGAGAGGCGTGACATAGCAACAAAGAATCATAGCTATGACGTACAAGATGGTGAGAGTCAAGGTGGCAGGATTTACAAAATTGATGGGAGACTTTGTTCATATTAATACTTAACTAAATATTTGTGTGTCCTAAACAAGGATTGTGATGCATCTTCCAACGCCCAAAAGATTCCTACAGAGTCAAGATTGGGGCATCTATAAAAAATTATTTTTTCGCCCTCTCCCGACCGACTGCCTAAAAGTGGCCCTACTCAAAACTTTTTTAACCTCCAGGAACAATTATTCATTTTATTCATTCATAAAATAGACTTCGAAAATTCAGCATTGACATTGAAATTTTCTGGAAAGAAATTTTTCCACCTACCTACGGACCCTTTTTTTTCATCTAGGGTTGGGAGAGGGCAAACAAAGATTATTTTAAAGTTGGCCAGAGTCAAGTTGGTATGAAAATGCCCCTGTTGGGAGAAATACCCTGGAAAATAAGACGGAATTGTTTGAGGAAGCTAATCTGAGTCGAACCTATATAAACCACTGTCTGAGAGCCACTTCAATCACTTACTTGACGGTTTTGAAGCACGTCACATCATGACTATTTCAGGCCACAAATCAGAAACTAGCATAAGAAGTTATACTAGGACAGGAAATGAACAGAAAGAAAGGATAGCTTGGACAATTGCTGGGGCATTATCAGGTTAATATTAAATTTTAGTGAGTGAAATATTTTGTTTCAAAAATACAAGTTTAAAATACTACTACTAGATTTATCTAAGAGCTCAGAGTTTAATATGAGCAATTTTGTAAAGTGAAAGAAGAGTTCAAAACCCCTAATTTGAATGATTGTACATGTATTATAACCAGGTGATGATCATATGGATGGCATTTATCACCAGAAGATAATGCATTCTGTGAGACTTAATGAATCAATTGCTGGAGCATTATCAGGTAAATTTTATATAAAGTTTGTCTGAATCAAAAGTGAACAGTACAAATTTAAAATAAAGCTACTAGATTAATCTGAAAAAAAAAAATCATATTTAACTTGTTATATTGCAAAATTTTAAAGTGAACTTCGAAACTACACTTTTTTAATATCAAAACCAGGTGATGATCAATATGCAGGGCCATCAACCAATCCTTTAAAGGGAATCTACCACCAGGAGATGACTGTGCATCTTAACGAATCAACTTTAGGCACGTAACGCTGAATGTGCTAGGGAAAAACATTGTTTTAAATTTATTCGTTGAATCAACTTCAGGTACGTAAAGCTGAATGTGCTATGGAAAAAAAACATTGTTTTAAATTCATTCCTTGTGTTCTAGAGTCCAATCAAGTTAATACGACAGTGAGGATTATCTACTATAATAGATATTAAATAATGCACAATAAATCGGCAACATGTCCATTTTCTAAAAAGATTCGAACATATTTGAAATCCTGCTGCCAAACAGAAAACAACATGCATTTGTGTAATGATGTAATTTTGAAAATTTAATCACTCACTATATAAAAAAAAAAAAAACAACAAAGACAATTCAAATGCAATCAACACCATGTCATAATGAACAATAAAAGAATTTGCTTCCTTCTTCCACTAAATATATGGAAGCCAGATTAAATTAGCTATATATATATATATATTTTAGGAATGACTCTAATTCTTGGCCAAATTATTCGAGTATAACCTGGTTTGGGTCAGTTTACGCTTTATAATCCGCGAAGCGGATTATAAAACAGCGTAAACTGACCCAAACCAGGTTATACTCGAATAATTTGGCCAAGAATTAGAGTCATTCCTTATAATTTAATTTTAAAATCATTAAATAACTAAGGGTGTGAAATTTCGTTGCTTTTTATTAGTTCAGATTTGCCGCTCAATAATACAACCGTAGTAACGGAAGTAACGGAAGTGATGGGAAGCAAGGGGAGGTAAAAACTGATGCATAGGCCTAGCGGCAGCCTTGTTATTTGTTTACATGTGGTAAGATCGAATTATTGTTAAGTTAAAGGTACATTTATTAAATCTGGAATTTTCCATGAATCCCGAGGGCTGGAAATGAGATGATTGTATGGATACAGATGATTCAGATGGTTGTCAGGGGGGGGGGGGGGGTGTCCCCATACCAAATCAGGTTATACAGAAATAATTTGTGTTCCTTTTTGGATATTAACCAATCAGAGGCTAGAATACAAACAAAATTAAATTTTATATATATATATATATATATATATATATATATATATATATATATATATATATATATATATATATATATAATATATATATATAATTCCAAGAGATAGTGAAATTATGACCTGTGTTTAAGATGAGATGACAAAGTACAGTAAGAAATGATATTAAGATAGTATTTAAGAAGATAAAAAGTGTTACTGAGCATTACCTTACAACAATATTATTTTACATGATGAATCATTCAAATAAACTTCAATTTCTTAACCGTGGCATATTTTGTTTTTGTAATAACAGTATAAAAAATAAGAAGAAAAAAAAAACTCCAAAAATTAGCTTATGATATTTAGTCTCGACTAGCTTTTCTCCTTTACAAACATCTTGATAAACGATTTATCCACCTGTTCATTGAAAGCCTGGTGGAAAAATATAATTTAAAATTTTATCTTATGTACCCGTTTCCTTGCTTTTGTTTCTAAAACTTTAAAAACTCTTAACGCCTTAAAGTTAATGATTCGGACAATGCGTATAAATAAGTGATTAAGCAAGGGTTGATTGTCCTATATTGGTCATAAAACAAACCAACTTTCTAGTCACATATGCTTTATTAATATATTTTCAAAAAAGGAGAAACTACATTAGAATAAAGTTTATAAAAAGAAATACAGACACGCTTTAAAAAAAAATAACTTCACAACTTCACATGTTATCATTATTAATATTTACATCATACATTGTAATTTTATATCTGATGGTAGAGCATATATTATATTGCTGTATCTGTTTTCATATTAACACAGCATTGCATGTTGTTTTACATTTTCATCTTTAAAAGACGTTAAGTACATTTTGTAAATAGCAAGGCTCCAATGTAAACATTTTTTTTTTACATAAATAAATGCAATTTTCCCCATCTTTCAAAGATTGGAATTTTCTATACGTATTTTAAATAACTGGTATCTAAACTTCTTTTTAAACGAAAAGTTCAGTCTCTGTCGATGTTGTCATCAATTATGGATTATAAGACGACATAATGTGAAAATAAACTTGCTGTACACAAACAAAAAATGTTTTGTTGGCATATTTATTTTCTACGCAGTCTACAATTTAATTAGCCAAAAAGACAGAACTATTTCACTAACGTACATGTAAAACCAGAAGCGACATCACTTTGGTACGGACTTTTTCCGATAGTTCACTTCACTGTAACCACCACTCTGAACTTCCATGTTTACTTGCTCTGACAAGCAAATATGAAAAACAGTAATTAACAATCTCCTCTGACGACTTCATCACAGAAATTTAAGATAGAAGAATTTTATTTGCATAATAAAGCCTGATTGACATCAAAAATTGAAGTAATTGGTTTAATATTATATCAACGTACCATTCTCCCCCATGGTCAAGTACTGGGTAAATTCGAAACCTTCGCCAACAGGTTTTTGGTATATTTTATTCTGCACACTAAAATAGAAATACATGTATTACGTTAACAAATACATGTACTTTTAAATAGAAAATGAAAACAATCGGAAGAAAATCAAAATACAAATATACCTTTGAGATGTTTGTGATTTAAAAGCACCTGTGAAAAAAAGTATTTGGAGATAAAAAAAAAAACTTGACTCAATTTAGCAAATTACAATTTGTTTTAATTAGCAAGAATGTAAAACCAAATGAAATTTTATTTAAGCAATTTACAAATTAAAAGGCGTGAACTATAAGAAGTGGTGAATTAACGAAAACTAGTTTCCTGTTTACCCTCTGAATCAGTGTCCATCGTCAAGTAATCACTTCGAGGATCAACGTTGTTAAAAGATCGACGTGGGAGTTCTGGACTCGTAATGAACCCACTAATCAATACAATATGGATGTGTATTATTTTCGTTTAAGAATTTTGAATCTTAAAAATACATTAAAAAAAAATATCTAGAGCTTTTTTTATTTGTTAATACATGAAGAAATATATATATATATATATATATATATATATATATATATATATATATATATATATATATATATATATATATATAAAGTAAATTCGTAGTTGGTGCAATGTATAAAATTAAATACCCATTTAACTGGAATTTTCCGTTATCTGAAACGAACAAAATATACAAATAAATATATTAGAAATGTGCTTACGTATATATAATCTTAAGAAATATTATATTTGAGAAAGAAAAAGGAAAAAGAGACGACAGAGCTAATGAAACAAACGGTTAACCATGCATTATACTTGTACCTTTCTTTCGCTGCGAGTTCAGTTTCAGGATAGCAGGATCATCGACACTCGCATACTCATTCCCCTCTGATCTTTAAATAAAAGTCATTAACACTTGGAAACATTCAAGAGAATATATTTAATAAAAGGGTGATAAAATATGTGATATCAGGTGGTTAATAGGGCATAACTTATTTATTCTATTTGTCTTGGTCTTGCCCAGTAGTTATGAACCATTTATATAATACTTGATTGTGGTAGCAGAAACTGTTAATATAAAAAAGCAAGGTTATAAAGTATCATTGAAAAATTAAGCATTTAAAAAAAATATTTGCTTAAATGCAAAAAAAACAATTTGTATTTTTTTTTTTTTTTGCTTAAATGCAGTGTATGCCATAGATTATATCTATTCAGCATCCTTTTTTGTTAGACAATTTATTTGTATAAATCTTTCTGGCATCACATGTAATATTTCAATGAAGTGAAAGCATTCGTGACACATCAGTGTAAAAATTGCATAAGTATAAAGGATGACAGTTAGATTTTATGTTTAAGGAATAAATACATTTTTTATTTTAATAAGGAAAAACTTTAGAGTGCATCAACAGTTATGCTTTATCACTGCCATTGTTTACAGCTTGAATTTCATTAAACACTAAAACAGTTACAGATTTGAAAATGGTTAACTTCTAAGTTATACAGAAACGTGCTCATTAAATTTAATAAAGTGCATATATATTCACTTCCTCACTCACCTCATTTGACGTAAAGCTAAAATACATTTTAAAAGAAGTGATGTAAAGTCTTTTACATTCTTTGAAAAAAAAAATTCCAGTGAAGTGGTTGCTTCTTGTTGAGTTAATTTTCCAAGTACACGTCGTTTACTATGTGTCCTTTTCATTATTTTCGATAGTTACATGAAAGTATCTGTTGACTTAATTAACCTTTAACTTCACAAATTTTCTCATTAAAATAAAAATTAAGTCAAAGTCATTCTAGTCTTTAAGTAAAAGGTAAAATATGCGTAACTATTATATCATATTATACTGAAACCAAAAGAAAATGTTTCTTTAATCAATACTTTTTTGAATTTTATTTTAAGTTTTTGTTTTGTTTTTTTGTTTTGGCTAAGTAACTGCTTTATGTAATTTTTCAAAGGTCTTAGAAGACGACCATTTGATTCTAAGGGGGGGGGGGGGGTTGCTGGCTGGCAAAATTTTTCTGAGTCAGGTTAATATTTACATGTATTTTCATGTCGGTAAAGGACAGAATATTTATTTCCAAGATGATCGAGGACAGATTGTTTATATCATTTATTTTCTTCTTCACTGATATAAGTGTGACAAGCAAAAAATGATAAAAATAAAATAAAAAAATAAAAGACGAATATTAGTGAAGCTGCTAATTCTAAAAATTATACAAACTATTTATTTATTTCAAAATTTCCTATGTCAACAATCATAGATTTCAGGTACCGGACATTTCATTTTACGATCCTTTTTTTTCACCGCATATTACTTACACGATTCGGTCATCCATTGTGGCGTCAGATAGGTTTCAGGAGAACGGGTCAAACTTTCAAAGAATAAAGAAAGAGGCAAATTTTTCATCATTAAGAAATCCTGATGATATTTTCATTGATATGTTTTATAATAATATTAATCATATGTGAAATATTTTTCGAATTGAAGTATATTCTATTTGTTTAATATGTCTTAGTACATGATAATCTTACCTATCACCGTTACTTCCTGATGCGTCTAGGTCTAGAATTATAAAATTTATCTTAATATGAAAGGTATAATTATATCATTTAACAAAATGCATGTGGTCCATGATCTTGGATATTAACGTAGAAAACAAAGCAAATTAACTTAAATTCTCGATGTTACTTTTTAATGTTAAGGGTATTAATGAGATAATGGAATCATCAACTATGAACAAGGTAAATGAGGTTTAGCAACAAAGGCATTAAAGGTCATCAAAAAAACTATTTTTCCATTTTCAATTCACAGCTAAACGTTAAATCAAGCTAAAATATCTCCATTTAAAGTTAAGATATTATAAAGTTAATTTTCAAATTACTGAAAAAGTGAGATCTTTAAGGATATTCCTATATTTTATATCGACAAGGAAAATCTTTACCATTGGTCATCTTTTGTGTAGAATAGCTATTTCTCCCCTCTGACTCATTATACCTAGAATAAAAGTAAACAGAAACAGATATACTAAATATAGTAGTGAGGTCAGAATAAATAGGTATTCACTCATTGGTTACAGTAAAGCATTCAATTATGAAACTGATGTGGCTGACTCTTTGGTTCTTTTATATGAGTTCTGGGATATTCTAAGTTGAAAAGAAAATAACTTTTAATTGATAAAATAGCGAGGATTTACATTGTATCTTTTTATCTGAGCTTTTAATGCTATTGGTTACATTATCTGCATCTTCGTTTGCAAAGGAATTCGGTAAACAAGGCCTGCAGAATGCCTCTTGCTTCAGATATATAAAAATCATATTCAATTTGTGAATTTAGATTGATTGATTGTATGTTGTTTTGCGTCCCGTTCGAGAATTTTTCACTCATATATATAGACATCACCATATACTGGTGAAAGGCTTCAAATTTAGACCTTTACTCGGCACTCAGGGCCATTGAGCAGTGAGGGTTCTTTATTGTGCCAACGCCTACCGTGACACGGGGTCTCTGTTTTTAAGGTCTCATCCGAAGGAACCGCAACTTTCAAAGTGCGAAGCGCTTGGCGAAGGTACAGTTGCTACCTATTTTTTTTTATCGACTTAGGTCAGTCGCGGCCGTGATTCGAATGCACGACCTTCCGATCACGGAGCGAGCGTTCTACTGATTGAGCTACCGTGACGGCTTGTGAATTTAGTATCTAGAGTAAAATTATCATTATTGAAATTTATGAAATGATAAATGGACTACAAGTATTTCTCTGAAAGATGCGAAGCGTGTGTATGTTATTTCATAAGCAAATGATTTCAATCATTTTGAGATTTTTGCATATTTTGGAGATTTTTCATAAAATATACTTTAATGTTAGATGAAACATCAAAGAAATTTTGTTATAATTGAGATTTAATTTTTCGCCCTCGTGTTTGTCGCACTTTAGGCATTTCGCTCGCCTTGTTCGCCCATCTTCTTTCAGTTTATGGAATACTATTATAGTATACGGGATGGTTCGGACATAAGAGCTTGTGATGGGTAAGTTACTTAACATTGTTAGTAATAAAACTTGGGATTTGAGTTGCTACTTTTATTTTCACCTTTGATTTTTTTTTCAGATCTATTATTATCAAAAGTTGCTAAACAAATATTTTGCCAAATTTTGAATTAAAGAAAAAAAAATAATATACATCACAATAGTTTAACATATGAAGTAATGTCCATTTAAGTATCTTAATCCGGTTTTTGTAGTGAAAAAAAACTGGTTGTTCTTGAAATACATGTATAATTCACAATTTACTCTTCCGTAAAATTATAATCTCAGAATCTGTTTCTTTCAAAATATATCAATATATTAAATATTAAAATGTGTTTTTGTTGGGTCACACAAAAATAGAGAGAATGCAAAGCTTGCGCATGTGCACTGACTTTGTAAAGAAGCCCCAAATCGCTAATTTACGGAATACGGAAGCCCATTTAGGTCATTTCGAAAAGAAAAATGAATTTGATATAACGAATTGTTGAATTTGTTATAACGAATTCAATTTATACTTATTGACTCTGGTCGTAAGAATGAAACAAAGCAGTGTATTTATATAAAAAGGCACACAGAGCAATACCTTGGGGTATCGCCAGGGTTGAACTGCAATTCAGAACATGATACAAATTATGTTAACCGGTATCTTCACGTGTTTTTCAGGGTTTTTAAAAAAAGCTTTTGGAAATCAACTGGTCTCACACATTTAAATATCTATAGCGTGTTTGTTTTGTCAACATGGTTTTTGACTGTAATTTCTCTAATGAATTTTGTTGTCAACCGAATAAACCAGTTTCAGTGCTTCTAAAAAAAGTATTCTTACCTTTCAAGGGAAAGAAGACTTGAGCCTGAATTTAAAAGAAAATTACAACCGATAGCAATAGGTCAAATGTTAAATAATTGGTATTTTTTATTTCTGTATTACAGCATAGTAGCAAAATTCTTACTTCTATTTTTCAATTTTCGTTTTCTGACAATCAGAATAAAAACAAGGATGGATAGGAGCCCGATAGCGCCAATGATAACGATGACAATCAAGGTAGTCTCTGACATCGACATTTCATTGGCTAAAACTTAATTATTAAAAATAATCATCAATAAACTTTTCTTACACCTCTCACTATTTTCGAATAACTGCTAACTGGTTTTAAGGATTAAAGCCAAGTTTACAAGTAGAAAACAACTTTAAAATATTATTATATTTATATGCTTGTTTTCTTGGAGATTCTAGGTAAGAGCGGAAGCAAATTAAAATACATGTACTAGTAATTACCACGGAAGTACAAATAATTACCAGGAAGCTCACTAAATCAATTTTTATTGTTTTTTCCGTGAAAATTATTATTCACGGAAATCAGATAAAAAGAATAACACCAAATATAAAACAAGTAAAAAACAAAACAAAAACAACTGTCGTACCTTTTGAGGACATTGATTGCTGTTCACCCATTTTAATTTTAAATGTTGAACTACAGTTTTTACCAATGGCGTTTGTTGTACATAACTGAAGAATGTAAATAGAATTTGAATCCAAATCTGTCAATTTGTGTTCATACATCCTAGAATTATTTCCTTCAATGCGTTCAACATCAAATTCCCTAGAGGACTTTTTAAAAATAACTTCGTATGTCATGTCCAAATCTGGAGTAAGAGCGGACCACTCTAGAAGAGCAGAGGATTCAAATTCTTTGAAATGAATATGGAAAGGTTCACTTGGAAATTCTGGAAATTAGAAAAAATACATTTTGAAATGGATAATTATAAAATAGCCATGTCAAAGTTTAAATCGAATATCCCTTTAAAAATACAAAACTGTGCAGGATAAATCTGCCACTTCCAAAGTGGCAAATTGGCGCCCGCCAAACTCTTATTTTACATAAAATTCAGAAATACCAAGTTGTCGACCATCACTCACAGAGTTCAAAACCTTTTTTACAGATAAATCACACCTGTCAGGTGAGATAATCACTTTTGAAAAGAAAATTCCCAATGGAAAATATAAAGTTTCTGTAGGATAATTGAAAATCCTGAGGGATATTATCAAAATCCTACAAGATTTCGCCATTTCCAGCAGGATTTTTAAGAATTTCTGTAGGAATCTAATTTACCAAGGGAGAATTTAATTTTCTAGGGAATTTAAAGACAAATCCTATAGGAGAAAAAATATCATACAGGAAAGAAAAATTCTCCTACGGGAATTTTTTACTCCCTTGGGAAAAAAAATTCCCATGGAATTAAAATTCCCTTAAGATTTTAAGAGTTATTCCTAAAGGATTATTTTCTGTGCCATCTTCCTCTGAATTTGATAATCTTGATTTAAAAAAAATTCCTTAGGAATCTACAATATTACTCCTATAGAATTTTTGTTTTTTCTTACCGTGTCCCTCAATCAAGAATGTGTGTGTGGCTCTTCCCATGGAATTTTCAGCAATTAACTGGTAGGTTGTTCTGAACCTATTCTTTATTTTATCAAAATCCATTTCCACCACAGTCCCATCCATATTGACTTCTGTGTCATAAATGTCGACAGCAACTGAGCGTTTTGTATCTTCTTTTCTAAACTGATGAGTAGCTTCTCCCTCTTTGACAATAATTGAAGAATGAACAGCTGGATGTCCAATAATTTCAAATTGTAAACTACAATTCTTTCCAACTTTACAATGATATTCAGGTTTTGAATGGAGGATCCTTGGTTTCGCTAATATCCACGTGTAAATGAAAGAATACATATCATTCAAACACAAGCTGTATATAATTTATATACTGCTGAAAGTTTGAATGTCTGTAAATTAATATAAAAAATGAAATAAACTAAAAAAAAATTACCTTGTACAACCAGATCTACCATTGCAGTCTGATTTATTTCTCCTTTCAAATTAGCAATACCATTTCCCAACAAACATACATAGCTTCCGGAGTCATTATAGGTAACCTGTATTTGAAAAAAACAAAACATTAAATTTCATTGAACATTATATGAAACATATTGCTACAGTATTTTTTTAAGGGCTCACCGATGTTAAGGACAAAGTATATCTTGTGCTGGAGGGGTTCAAAGAGTTGTCGGAATGTAGTTCTCTAATCATCTTTTTTCCTATCCAGTGTTGCCAATATAGTTCACTGTAGTTTCTGGGAAGTCCATCCTCAGAGATCTCGCAGGTAAACGTTACAACACTCGCTCCTTCATTCGTGGTGGTGTCATTGCTTGCTTTCAGTGTGGGTGGATCTTTAAATACCAATGAGCACAGAATTATTTGGGCTGCAGTACATTTATACATTTATAATAAAAATGTCATAAATAGTTTCAGCATTTTTCAATTCTGTATTTAGGTAAAGCAAAAAAAAGTTAAATAATTTCAAAAAAAGAAAATTTCTATTTTCTAAAAAAATATTTTTCTTAATTAACTTACACTCCACGACCAGGCTGATTGTTTTCGTGGCGGTGTAGTTTCCCTTAAAGATAACAGTGACGTTACAGGTATAATTTCCTGAAGCTGATCTAGAGATATTGTTGAAACTTAATATCAGTGGTTGGTTTTTATTTGACCAGTGTGTTACACCAGTGCTGTGTTCCCATGTGGCATTAAAGATGGGTGCACCGCTGAATGTGCACGGGGTTGAAAAGTTAGAACCCTCTCTGATTCTGTAGGCACTGTTCTGTATCGCTATAACGGGTGGATCTGCAAGAAAAATTAAATGTATATATAATTCTGGGATGGAGTTCGCACATTTGTAATGTACGCCTTTTTTTCTCAAGTGAGAGAATTCAGCGTTTAAAACAATGCAAGTATTTTTGTTAACAAAGCAATAAAAAAAAAACTTATAAAAAGTTGACAAGGAAGTGTAGTTTTTATTGCTAAACTAGTCCAAAGTACTTTAGCAATGATTGTAAACGTAATATTTAAACGTGTAAGTTACGCAAACCAGTTGCTGAAACCACACACATGGGGATTGCTTCTGCAATACCACCTTAATATATATACTACTTTAATATGCTATTAATTCTGAATAAAATGTCATTGGTTGGCGGGTTGTTATTCCTCCATGCATAAAATTCCATGTTTATAGTATATGTTTTTTCCTTGCATTAGGGAGAAGAAAACTTAAAAAAAAAACAACCTGGTTGCAGACTGACTGTTATGTTGCCATGTTCTTTGACTTTTGCGGAATCACTGGAAGTGCAGCGCCATATTTGGCCGTCTTTAGGTTGCAGTACACCGTAAGTAATTGTGTCTCCATGACAGTCTACGCTGTAATAAGTCTGCTTTTCAGAGGGAACTGAACATGGTCCTCCATTAAATATAGCAAATTTGAAGCCTGTTTCACCAAGAATATTAAGACTTGAGGATATCCATTGTGGTGAAAATGTACAACTGAAGAACAGCGGTTTTCCATATGTCACATTTGCAACTGGTGATGGATTTACAATGATAGTAAGATCTAAAATTCAATGAATGTAAAAAAGGATTTTAAGATTATACTTATACTTATACTTATTTCGGGAATAAATCAAATAATTCAATATATCAAACCGGCATACTTAAAAGGTCTTTAAAAATAATATTTAAATAAATGAATTGCAGTGTACTTATTGACATTTTGATTTATTTAAAAATAAATTGTATTAATCTTTTAAGATCTGCATTAGGATTTCTTTATTACATAAACAAGAAAAAAATTGTGTGATTCACGTTTTTATTCATTCCTTTTACTGATTCCTTTTTACCTTTCTTTTGTAAATATAGAAGAAAAGGCAGTTTTCTTGTATCTTTGTCAAGTTCATACGAACGCATATTTAACGATACAAATTGATTTTGAAACTTACATGCGCTATCCAGGGTCAAAATGACCAAGAAAATTCTGGTAAGAATCATCCTCTCCCTGTTAAAAATATTACATTCAATAACAGACAACGTACACGCATATAATCGTCGAAGGCCCTAAATTCTTTAAGGTCCTAGGGTCGTGTTTTTCCCGAGTATCTCTCAAGATTTCATCCGCTGCTGCACCACAAAGCGTAAAACGTTTTTATTAACCAAAGATTGCTTTTATCATATTATTATACCGTTGTGTTTGAAAAAAAATCATCTTAAGGGTTTAAAACTATAGAACAAAGATATTTTTTTATAAATCAGTCAAAAATGTATATATAAACAATGAGATATCATTTTAAAACATTTATCGGGATTTAAATAAGGTTTGATCAAATTTACCACGATCAACCCGTACTTGCATAAAAGTTTAAAAATGATTCTTTGTTTCTTAATTACAACTGTAGACGATAAAAAGATCAAAATAGGTTTTATATATATATATATATATATATATATATATATATATATATATATATATATATATATATATATATATATATATATATATATATATATATATTATAATACAATTCGGGCGAGGTGAATATTGTACTTCGAAGGTGTCTAAATCATCGTATTGACCTAAAAAAAACAGCAATAACTGTTTTATTATATGATTATCTACTTTTGGTCCAATGTAGAATAAATAATTCCTTATATTGACCTGCAAATAATTCCTTATATTGACCTGGAAGGTCACGTGCAGGTCAATATAACGTAGTATTTTTCTAACATTGTTGGATCTCAGCCAATCAAAGAGATGGGAATTATTCAATCATATAACAAATATATATATATATATATATATATATATATATATATATATATATATATATATATATATATATATATATATATATATATATCCTTAAACAAAATATCAAACTTAGCATTAACCCATCACTACTAAATATAGGCCTTTCAACTGCCGCTAGGGTTCGATATAAAGAACGATAACTCATTACCGGAACTTGTTTACAGCAGGTCTGAGATATCTTATTATTTTTAAACAGGTCAATTTTCAGCATTTCCCAAGTGTTCCTTTGCTCTCAGCGGAATCCAGTGATTTTAAAATTAAGCACAAATGTTAAAATTATTTATAATGTAGTTATGGACACTGTGAAATAATATATAAGTGAAATTTTTAATAAAAATATAAAGTGAAATCTACCCCCTTCTTAATTTTAACCTGATTAAATTTTTATGCTTGGTCGTTCTTCTTCGTGCTTAGTAAAAAGAATGAGATATTTAATTGTTGCATTTACTTGTAGAAATGTTTATCTTTATATAAGAAGCACAACAATGCACAAACAAAAAACATGACATTATATTTTCTTCCTCGTAACAACAGTCAGAGAGAGAGTTAAAAATCTTGAATATAGTCCGTTCCCCATTCATTTGATTCCATCATTTCAGGTAGAGTGAAAACATTTCCTTGTTTCGGTCAACCCTTTTGTGTACAAAACAATGTAAGGAACCCTTTTGTGTACATAACACTACCAAATGAAGCAGCCTATATGTCATTCCTATAAACGATAACTCAAAAATCGGCACTCTGTTGGTCGTTTTTCGCACTTGAGTTACCTGTCCTTAAAACATAACATCGTAAAAATCAATTATTAATAATAATTTTTTTAAAGATTTAATTAAAGGTATGTATATGTCATAATCCTTTTTGAGAATTTCACATAGCTTTAAATCTATCTATCAAATGTTTTTTACCATATGTGCAACTTGAGAAATTAGTTGAAAGGCCTACTAAATACGTATGAAAGGAAAATCCGAAATATTTTTGTACGACCTATCTCGAGTGTATTGGTGATGTACTTGTGCCACTGTATGCTCGGTAGAGTAGATTTTGTGCGGTATTTACGGTAATTAATGCTGTTTACTTTATGTCAACAGTAACCAAATAATTCGTTTTTTAAATTCATTTTCAATGAAGTCACGACCCTAGGACCTGTTTTTAAAATGGTGCCCGGTAAACATCGGTAACTTCAATGAGATGAAAACAATCAAATAAAGCATTGGTTTTCTAAACAATCCGTTCACTTGTAAAATAATTTTTTTTATAATTTAGGTTTGACTTACACAGTGAAATAATATTTCTCATTTATTTACAAAACAGTCACAATCAAATTAAAGTAAAGACTCGAGGACCTCCGAGGATATATGTATACAAAACAAAAGAAAAATCCCTTAATTTCATCTTCATATAGGCTAATTGGAGGGGGGGGGGTTAAGGAATGATTTTTGAGATGCGAAACTATTGTATTTGGTATTATATGAACTTATATTGAAAAACTCCTCTTGAGGGTCAATTTTATCAAATGCGTCCTACAGAGAAAATTAAAATTCTAGCAAATCGTAGAAAAAGAAAGATAAAATTTATATATGAAATTCAATATAAGCTACATGAGCTAATGCTTGCTTTGTAATTATATAAGGCACTTATTTTATTCGCTTTATAAACATATACGGGAACCGAAAGTAGTCGAGCGCAAGACCTTTCAAGCACAAGACAAGCGCCCCACCGACTGACTCGCTGTGTCGATAGCATTGAATTATGGAAAATAAATTCTAGAAAGAAATCACCAAGATGAAAGACGATTCTAATCTTTATGTGTAAAAAATGTTCTTTTAAATTTTCCACACACATACAAAAACAAAGCAAAACAAAACAAAAAAAAACGAAAAAAAACAAACAAAACAAAACTAAAAACAAACCAAAACAAAAAAAAAAAACCGAATTTTAAGGATGTTGTTTTTTCTGTAGAAAAAAAAAATAACTATGGCATTTCAGGAAATTTTTCTAACTATTCTTATGCAACAAGACGTTTTGTTATCATAGGAGAGTTGTGTAAAATCGCCTTATTTGAAGGAAATTAGTTTTTTTTTTTTACCTATAGTGTAGCTAGTAGCTAAAATTAGCATTATTAAAAAGGGAATAAAAAATAAGGAATCTTGATAGAGAAATATGAACTTTTTTTTGATATATGGCCGAAATTTTGCATAAGTTTTTTTTAGTTTAATATTATCAAGATATAAGTAGATTTTTAGAAAAATCTTTTTACATTGATTTTTTAACGTTCAGGATTTGTGATTGAAATATTAATTTTGTATTAGTCTCCATCTCGGTAAATATATTATTATTATTATTATTATCACACACACACACACACACACACACACACACACACACACACATATATATATATATATATATATAGAGAGAGAGAGAGAGAGAGAGAGAGGTTATATTGGCAAGAGAATGTTGTACACTCATTACCAAACCAATTTTTTTAAAAATAAGGTATAGACCTTTTTATATGATGATACATGCATTCTGCAATAAAGATAAAACTATCTTACCTAATCTGACCTCCAGACGGAAGAGAAGCCTTTGATAGCAGATAACTCGGCCCCGTTCTTATAAAAACGAACAGGAAGTACTTCTGCGGACTTGAAAGAACTTAACTTCCCATAAGGAAGAATTTACTTGTAATTTAAAGTATTTACTTACTTTCATTAGACTCTCACAGGCATACTAAGTCCTATCATACAGGACTATATATAAGAATGTAATAATTATGTGTGAGATAAGTGGTCATATAATGAAAGCAATTCTCAACTACTGAATCCTTAGCTGAAAGATACAACATTACTTAGTATAAAAATAAATTAGTTGTTAATTATATGGTAAGGCATAGAAAAATATATTTTATTTCTGTGAATTTTAAGCCTGTTTTACTTACACATTAGTAATATTGGACTAATGAGCATATTTTAAGGAAGGTCAAATTAAAAAAGGAACTTCTTATTGTATTAGGGAATGTAAAAAATCAGTCCCTTGGTATGAGATAATGGGGATTTTCAAGTTTAAACAGGAAATATCAATCAAAAGCAGTGTTTCTTTTAAACAAACTTTAATATATTGAAAAGGTGCTATTTTTGCATGTTCAAAAAAGGACATGAACTAGTCTTTTATGAAAGCATTTCAGCAAAACAAGTCTGTATAGTATACAGTACCGAGACTACCGACCAGACACAACCTAACAGAAAGCGAACCCAGAGCGCACCCCGGGTTCGCTTGGGGTCCGCTAGGGCTGTCCCCGAGCGAACCCGGAGCGCACCCGTAGCGAACCCAGAGCGGACCCAGAGCGAACGCTGAAAGCGAACCCAAAATTCAATAGCGGTCCAAGAAAGCGAACGCGCGTTCGGTGTTGCATAACAGAGCTGTCAATCAGGATTAGCGATTAACCAATCAGCGCGTCGACCAGTCAACATGCCAATCAGGTCCGTCAATCAGGATGAGTGATAAAATGCGTTGACCATCAGCGCGTCGACCAGTCAACATGCCAGTTTGTCATCTAAACATTGTACAAGCAAAGTGTGTGATTGATTGATTGTTGTTTTACGTCCCATTCGAGAATTTTTCACTCATATAGAGACGTCACCATATACCGGTGAAGGGCTTCAAATTTTGACCTTTACTCGGCACTCAGGGCCATTGAGCAGTGAGGGATCTTTATCGTGCCAACGCCTGCCGTGACACGGGGCCTCGGTTTTTAAGGTCTCATCCGAAAGACCCGCAACTTTCACTCCAAAGTGCCGAGCGCATGGCGAAGGAACAGTTGCTACCTATTTTTTATCGACTTAGGTCTGTCGCGGCCGAGATTCAAACTCACGACCTCCCGATCACGGAGCGAGCGCTCTACCGACTGAGCTACCGTGAACGGTAGCAAAGTGTGTGAATGTACAGTGTAAAAATATTATTAATATGATTTTTATGCCCCTGGATCGAAAGATCCCGGGGGTATATTGTTTTTGTCCTGTCTGTCTGTTTTTCTGTTTATCTGTTTATCTGTTTGTCTGTCTGTCTGTTGTCAACTTTAACCTTGCCCATAACTTTTGATTGGTTGGAGCTATGACTTTCATATTTCAAATGTTTATTCCTTGTGAGAAGACCTTTCTTTGGGTACTATCATATTTGACCTTTTGACCTTGACCTTGGAGTTTAACCCACTTTTGCAAAATTTTATGAGACTTTAACCTTGGCCATAACTTCTGAACAGTTGGTGCTTGGGGTTTCAAACTTCACATGTGTATTCTTTGTGACAAGGCCTTCCGTTGGATACCAACAACTTTGACCTTTTGACCTTGACCGTGGAGTTTGACCTACTTTAGAAAAACTTTAACCTTGGCCATAACTTTTGAACAGTTGGTGCTTGGGGTTTCAAACGTCATATGTGTATTCCTTGTGACAAGACCTTCCTCTGGATATCAACCTCTCTGACCCTTTGACCTTGACCTTGGAGTTTGACCTACTTTTGAAAAACTTTAACCTTGGCCATAACTTTTGAATGGTTGATGCTAGGGCTTTCATACTTCACATATGTAATCCTTGTGACATCCCCTTCCTTTGGATACCAACCACTCTGACCCTTTGACCTTGACATAGGAGTTTGCCCTACTTCTGAAAAACTTTAACCTTGACCATAATTTTTGAATGGTTGGTGCTAGGGTTTTCATACTTTACATATGTAATCCTTGTGACAAGACCTTCCTTTGGATACCAACAACTTTGACCTTGACCTTGATGTTTTACTCACTTTTAAATAACTTTAACCTTCGCCATAACTTTTGAACAGTTGCAGCTAGGCCTTTCAAATTCAATTTTTTTTTCTTTTGGCCTGGATTTTGACTTGCATTTGAGAAACTTTAACCTTCGCCAAAAGCTGCCATACGGGGGCATCAGTGTTTCACAAACACATCTTGTTAAACATGATTTTATATTTATATATTTTAATTCTCCAGACAGCATGCAATATTTAATATCTATTTTCATTATTTTTTATTTTTAAAATCTATTAATACATCCAATATTTTTATTATCCAGGTAACATGTTACATGTATAGTTATACATATTTATTTTCTTTATATTTTTAAAATCCATTAATATATAAATATACATTGCGTAAATTTATCAGACAATAAGTACTTTAATGCAGAAAAGAAAAAAAATAATAATGGTTATAACAAATGTTACTAAAAAAAGAACAAAAAAAAATTGGTCTTCAACAAATTATAGAATTTTATCTCAAGATACAGTATAAGAACATGTACGTGCTTAATTTAATTATTTAATTTTTATTATTTCAATTTACATGCACGTTTGTATTTATCCAGATCAATATCGAAATTATCGATCTTAATAGTTGATCATGAAAAAAATTCAATGTACATTGTACAGTACAAATGTGCATTATGTCAATTCGTAAATTGGAAAAAATCTCTTTTTTTTTAAACTACTATATTTTTTTTTATTAATCTTTTACCAAAATTTAATAAATAGCTTGATTTAAAGACATGTATATAGGGAAAGATTATTTTGTCAATTCTAATTATCCTACATGTAGACCTTACAGTTGATTGATTGATTGATTGTATGTTGTTTTACGTCCCATTCGAGAATTTTTCACTCATATAGAGACGTCACCATATACCGGTGAAGGGCTTCAAATTTTGACCTTTACTCGGCACTCAGGGCCATTGAGCAGTGAGGGATCTTTATCGTGCCAACGTCTGCCGTGACACGGGGCCTCGGTTTTTAAGGTCTCATCCGAAGGACCCGCAACTTTCACTTCAAAGTGCCGAGCGCATGGCGAAGGAACAGTTGCTACCCATTTGTTATCGACTTAGGTCAGTCGCGGCCGAGATTTGAACTCACGACCTCCCGATCACAAAGCGAGCGCTCTACCGACTGAGCTATCGTGAACGGTGTAGACCTTACAGTGTGTGTTTTTTGAATTTTTTTAACTACTTGCAAATCAGTCCAAAACACAAAAATGCTTATCACTTTCTTTCACGTCGATATATATATATATATATATATATATATATATATATATATATATATATATATATATATATATATATATATATATATATATACGAACCTCTTACATGTACTACATGTAATTTTTGAAGTACTTTATATTAAAAATAAATAGACGTGTACGTTTTGTACTTGTGTATGAAAAGTTCACGTAATACCAACATTAGTAAATTGAACGCAAAAATACCTTAATATGAAAACGTATATATATTTTTCATTACATAGGTACCTGTATTTGAACTTTTTTAAGTGTCATAATTATTTAATTTTAACACTTTTATAATTATAGTTTCAAAGTGAAGCCAGGTTCATCACGTGTTGGAAATCACCCACCTGTTTCGGAGATATTGCGGGTGCTAAGAGCAATTGCGGTGGGGTTTTTTAATTGACACTTGCTAGCTGGATGTATACTGCCTCCATGGTCATGGTATACCTGAGTATATACTCCCCCTACATTCGAACCTTTCATAAACCCTTCATGCCCCTAAAGTTATCTCGTCTGGGCACTTCATCAATGAGAAATCCAGTTATTATTATTATTTTTTTGAAGTTGGAAACGTCATTATAGTTCTTTGGTACGTTGCATGAAGAGTACATGTTCATGTCATGTAATTTGCTGCCACTTGAATGCTGAAAATCAGTAAAATAGCTTTAAGAGAGAGAGAGAGAGAGCACTGTATACTATTTGAATTTAAAATCGCTACAACCGGCCCGTAGAAAACAATTCGAGTACGGAGAGGGGTTGGGGGGCTCAAAGAAATTAAAAAAAAAAAAAAAAAACATCGGGCGTTATTATCTTAATTTCATCTACTTAATCATGCAAGTTTACAGTTATTGAATTCTTATTTGTTTTTTGTTTGTTTGTTTGTTTCCTTTCTTTTTTAATTTATTTTTAAACATTTCGAATTTTGTTTGTTAACATGTCGCCCCAGTATGTACATGTATGTAAGGGGGGGGGGGGGCATGAAACAGTAAGGAACACAAATTATTCAAATGATCATTTATTTGAAAATAACTTAAAAATTAATATATTCTTATCAGTGGACCAGTTATTAGTTTTTGTTTGTTTGTTTGTTTTTGGTTTTTTGGTTATTCTTTTCTTAATAGGTTTTCCGTTAAACTTGATTTATAGCACGGAATTAAATCATAAATGATCTGTAAAACGAAACTCAAGTTACTCATGAGAATTTTTAGTGATTATCACGACCTACATGTACATGTAATGGACAACCTAGCTTAAACGTAAACTGCTATATATGAAAACTTAGCATTTTACGTGTACAGTACGTCTCAGCTATTTCATAGATAAGATCATAATTCAGTTGTTTGTCTTTCAAACGTTTAAATTACGATTTAGCAATTGCAACTACATTTGGTAGTTCCAACTGATTTTAAAACTATTCACGCATGAAAAATGCTAACAAATGAATTTGAAAGCTTTTTTGTTAAGATACTTTTATCAATTTCACTCCATCCGATACGTCGAAAATAAATTTAACACCTTTTTTTTTT